TACACGTAATTTGAATAGGAAATTATAACTTTTTTAACATGTGCAAAACTGACGATGTGGCAACCATCTATAGAAGGAAGAAATCAGCTGACAGGAAAAATCTAAATTCCGCAGACAACTACAGAAAAATTCTGCGGTGTTGAGTTTTCATTTACATGGCGCTCTGGTAAGACAGATCGTAGTCAGCTGATTCGGGTTTATGTACCGGTAGCTTTATGTTCTTAACTAATTTCAGCTTTAGCCTGCTCCCGTACTGCAGTATTTAAGCAGAAATAGTCCCAGGTCGTTCCGTGCACATAAGCTCAGACTATCAGAAATCTAGCTAAGCAAAAACCAAAAAATGTGGCTCGATAGAACTTTTTATGCTAATTTCAACCCTATCAAAATTATCTGGCGGAAGAAGATATCAATGGATAAAGTTAAATTTTTTGATTTTTTTAAGTATTAATATCTTCTCAAACTACCAGCAAAAAACAAAAGCAATAGCTGTTTCACTAAACAGAGATTGTTTGAAAAATAAGCTTCGCATTGAATTTATACTTCTTTGAGTGAGAAGATGGTGAATTTGGAAGACATAGATTTAGTATTTTCCTTAACTCAAGGCTTTACACGCCTACAAAACGTGACCTATTGATTGATGGCTGGACTGCCATATCTAACAAAAGTCGGATAACATGATGAGTTAAAACATAGAATAAATTTAAAAAAGTAAGAATAAAGTTGATTGAATTCCATGGGGCGGACCAAATTCTTTAGCTCTCAGGGGTGTTTACACTTTATTTTTGGTAGGTTTGCAAATCTTTTGGTAGTTATTTTGGTGGGAAAATTATATGTCTGAGCGGCAACACTGATTCAATTACAAAAATTTGCGCATATGTGTGGGTGTAGAACAGCGGTATTGTTGTATGGCACGCGGCCAATGTAGTTTCTAACATATGGTTCCCGTTGTTTATTGTTATTGTTTTTTTTTTTTGTTTAGTTGTTTTGCTGCTATGATTGCTTTTTTCTGCAGCTGCATCTCCATATAGTGGCTATTGAACTCGTTTATTTGGATCTTTATTGCTGCGCTCATCGAATTTTGTTTATAAGTTTCACTTTCGATTTCATTAACTTATTTTCATTCGTTTTAAAAAGCTTTCAAATAAAATATGAAATATAAGACATATGTACATACACATCCTATGTACATTTACATAGACGTATGTATATTTACACATGTACATTAGGATGCTTCAATAAAAAAGAGTTCCGTTTTTTCCACCGGAATTCCAAAATTTTTAATATTTCGCCAAAATATTTCGGAAAAATATTAGGAATTTGTGCAGACCTTTTGACCTAAAGCTCTTCTCTCATATTAGATAATTTTTTGTAAAAAAATATTTTTTAAACAAATTTTATTTTTATGTATATTAAAAACTCGATTTTTGCAGGAATTATTATTATTGTTGCGGATAGGGCATGGTGCCTTTAAGGTATTGTACATATATAAATACATGGATTTCTATGTATGTATGCAACATATGTACAATTTTTTGTCCCCATAAACATTTACCCTTTTAGAAAAAATATCAGTTATGCTAAAATTGTATCACCCAACTTGTATAGAATACAATATACTTAGTTGAAAATAAATCTTCCATAACATCGTTTTGAAGCCTACAACAGTAACCGCAGGAATTTCCTGTATGTAAATTAATATCTCAAACTGCATTTGCCTCTGGGCTTTTTTAAACTGAATTTTACTACACCAACGCTTGTTTGCCGCTTAAAATTGTAGAAACGTATTTTTATTTGTCTCTACATCTATGTATGTAGTTAGTACACTAGGGTGGTCGATTTGATTTTTTAAACATTTTCCATAAAATTTTTTTAAACGCGGTGCATGTTTCAAGCTCTACCTTTTGATTTTTTTTAACTTTCAAAAGCAAAAAGTTTTGTTTTTCTTTACGAATATGAATAGGAATACGTAGGAGATCGTTAGGTTAGGCCGGCCAGTCCGTAAAGGTCTTAGATGTGCCAGAAGAACAGGTGATAAAAGGAAAGAAAATTTGTCTATTAACATTTTTTCTAACTTTTTCCTCAAAAGACGTGTGGAGCTTAAGCCTGTTTACAGTTTTTATACGATTTAGTTTGTCTAGTTTTTTTTTTTTTTAACTAGTTTTGGAATGTCTATTGAATGACCAATGACCCTAGTGAATATATGTATGCACATTTTTGTTTACATGTTCATTAGAACATCCATTAAAATATTTTATGTAAATTTTTCTTAATCACAGTTTCGAAGAAATTCTGACTTAACTTCCGCCTCGTTCTGAAAGTTTACTCTGTACAAAAACTAAACCAATTTTCTTAATTATCACTAAATGTACGTTAGTACTGCAATATGACCCAGTCATTACAAGGCATAACAGATATCAAGTCAAGTCATGCGATCGCTGTCACATCGCCTTGTTCCAACAATCCATTCACTTATTATCATTTTATCTTAGCTCACATTGTGATATATGAAAAAAAAAAATATTTTTAAATAGTCAGGTAAAGAATTTGAGTAAATCACATCACATCATGTCAAAACGCATCACATCAATTTATATCAGTAATAGCTCACGTATGTATATGTCTCGTATTTTGTAAGGAGGTGATTTTAAGGTAGTCGAAATAACAAATATATACTGTAAATTTTGAAGTGTTCTACAATTTACGACATTATGGGAACACAATTCATATTATTCAGAAGAAATAATATCATACAGGAGTCATATCATTTCATCGTTTCACATAATATTGGCTATATTTATTCCTGCAAAATGGTATGGCAAGGACTAATTACACTCGATTACATCCTCGAACTTCGTCATGCTAATTTAAAAGCTTAAAAAAATAAAATTAAGTAAAAGGTCATTTTGGATACCTATTCCACCTTGTGAACCAAAATAATGCACTGAATTTTTTTTTAATAATTTTTGGAATTAATCCTATCTGTGAATCACAGTTTTACTATATATATTTGGCACGGAGTAATAGTGGAAAAATTTAGGGAAATGATATCACATAAAGATACACATCACATTATTTCATTTCATTGTATATCACACCAAACAAAAATATACATCGTGCGACAAAAGTCTACGTACAGATAATTTTTCGATATCGGGCAGTATGCAAATCTCAAGAGAAGCAAAAACTCCATATAAAATGACGTACAAGAAATTACTAAGAAATTTTCTTTTGTAAAATTTAAGGCCGTACGCAGTTCTTAAGAAATTTGCTGTTTTCTGTTTTCAGCACAAATATATGCCCGTTCCACTATTTCTTGAGGAAAGAATGATGCAACAGACTGTGAAGTATCAGATGTCAAAATTCCTTGGACACACACACACACGAAATAATGGCGATTTTTTTCTTGACCGTTTTCTTGAGAAATACATACTGGCCTTATGAAGGCAAGGTTTTTACCGCACTCTTTGAAAACTGCAGATAAAGTAAATATTGAAATATGGCTGGCAAAAGAAAGAGTTTTAAGAAGGCTTACAGTCGAAAATATATTTGTGAGAGGTTTCCACCCACTGGATAATTTTGATTTAATTGATAAGATAAATTTAATATTGCAAAGGGATTTAGGAAAGTTTATTGTCAAAAATATTTTTGAGGAGGGTTGCCACGTGTTTGTAAAATTTTATTAAATTATTAAATTGATAAGATAAAAGTAATATTACAAAACGGGTATCAAACCAAAGAGGTTTAAGAAAGTTTACTGCCGAAAATATTTTTGTAGCGGTTTGCCACCTATTAGAAAAATTGTTTTAAAGTAAAGTGATAACATAAGGTAAGTACTGAATTGATACACCTTTGAAGAAAGTGTTAAAAGGTTATAAATTAAATTTCCACGGTTAAATACATTCGAAAATATTTCTCCTAACACCCGTATTCATAAGAAATAAAGTACACATGTTTCATAGATCGAAAACTCTATTTTATTTTTTATGTATGAAGCCATAAGAGTTTTGGGAGGGAGTAAAAGCCGAACAATTTTGAATATATAGTCTTGTAGCCCATTAAAGTGCAAGTTTTAAGTTGCTATTGGCAAGTTTTTTTTTGTTGACATTGTTATTTAGCTTTATACTACGCCCCATAAACACAAAATGACACTGTTATGTACAGGTGAGATGATATCAAGTCGCATCATGGCATCACAATCACATCGTATGATTTCACTTAATCTTACTGCCTCTCATAGTTGACATCATCGCTCATGCCATCACATTGTGAATAGGCAAGACATTAGGTTGAGGGAATCAGATATGAATGTCACACATAAATCATATCATTCAATATCAGAACATATTATATAAAATCACACCGATTTATGTACTCAAGTCGCGATGAATTGTGCACATCTCAATATCTTTTTTTAAGTACAAGTTTTTAGAGCTACTGTAAAGTATTTCCTGCTGGGTCTTCTCAAAAGCGTAATTGAACCGGTCTCATAGCAACCTTTGTATTAAAAACAATAACAAAAACTTAAAGACGAAACCAATAACAAATGTACATACATATGCAGCATAAATATGTATAACTACACATTTGTACGTACAATCATACATAAGTACAAATTTATTCCATAGAAAGATTCAAAGCAGCTGTGAGCATAATTAACTAAACGCTATTCCCCGCTATAGCTTAGCCCCTACAATGAAGGTGTTGCCCAACACGATGAGCAAGCGGTGTGCATTAACCAAAAAAAAAAAGGCGGCATCTGGTCAGAGTCACAAAGCCAAAGTGACGTCATCGTTATACGCATGGAAGTATGTAATCGTAATATACCCACCCTAGCGAGGAGCCACTGGCGACTTCGATGCTGACAGCGACAACGCAGCCGCATTGCTTTTAGAAAAAAATTAAGTTCGGCGACAAGTGCCATAGGGAAATCAACAACAATGCGACGAACAGCGAAGTGACAAACAACAGCGACGCCGACTTCAGTGAAGCAAATTCGTGAGCTTTTCTGTCAGTCTGCAGTTGAACGTGTAACGTGAAAGTTTTAAGATATTTTTTACAAGTGTGGAGGAAAAAGTAGCGAAGAGATAAGTGAAAACTACCCTCGAGTGGTAAAAAAAAATAATATAATGTTTTTACTAATTTTTTATAAAATATTTTTATAAATGCGAAATAAAAATATTAAATTTTTCACGTAAAATATACAACAAATAAACCTAAAAACTTAAATAAATAGTGCATAAATTATTGGAAGACCGCTTGTGTGTTGTTTTGTATATCGTCGCACACAGCTAATGAAGAGATTGCCAAAAACGCCTACGCAATCGTCAAGTTAATTTCATTTCCACCGGACGTCTGCTGGCAATTATTGCAGAAAAAAAAAAATAAAAAAAAACAAAACAAAAAATCAAAAAAATATTAATTGAAAATATTAGCGGTGAATTTTATGAGATTCTTCATTGAACAAACAAACATATTTGCGTTATTTGCTGCATAATTTTGTAGACAGCAAGTGGCGTTGTAAACAATTTTGCTGTAGTGACGTTGGAGAATTCAAAAATTTTATTGCCAGTATTTATGAGAAATTAACAGCTGTTAACTGCTTGCAGTGAGGGCATAAATACAAAGTGTGCTGGAAAACCGACGAAAAAAATTTGAAAACACAAAAATAGAGACTAACTAAAAATATTGAAACCACCTCAAGATACAAAAAAAAAACGTAAAAATGGGTTGTGCTACTACCACCGTAAAAATATCTTCAATTCTCTTCAATACCCTTTTGGCGGTAAGTTTACAATTATTTGCTTTCATGTTGTTTTTTTCCTTTCCTTGACTGGTGAGATACTGCTTGTCATTGTGCGTTGGTGGTGGTTGTTATGATGTCATGGTCACTTCAATGAATACAGCGAAAAAAAAATAAAAAATAAAAAAATAAGTAAAAAATGTGTGAATGGAAAAGACAACATTGAAATTTTTAGTCAATACTGCGTAAACCAGTATGCGATTGGTTATGGAGTTATTAAATGTTTGTGTGTCATACTTGCGCGTTTTTTGCTATTAAGTTAGTACTAAAGTTTGAAAGAAAGGTACTAAGGCCTTAGCCATACTAAAGGCTGGCTTTCACTATGACATTTGTCGTCAAATAAGTGAAAACACATTTATAGACTCTACAAGGTGTTGTATAGGTCGTATATTCGTAACATTACTAACATATATGTAGTTGTGAAACCTTGCCATCTACAACTATACGACAATATACATACAACACGTTGTGACCTTTAAACCTGAAATGTCTAAACGAGGAAAGCCGCCTATCGAAAAATATTTTAAAGAGCAAAATATTTATACGAGCAATAGAAGCCAAATCAACAAATATTTAGAATTTTTGCATGTCTGTCCGTCTGTCTGTCTATATGTATGTTTGTACGCGCATCAATTGAAAACTAATGCATGAAATTGAATGGAGTGGTCAGCGATGTATTGCTAGAGGTCTAACTTAAAATATAAAAAGAAGAAAAATTAGAGAGTTACCACCTTTTTGAAAAAATCAGTTTAAGTAAATTGACAAAATAAAGTAAATATGTATTGCAATATGGCTGTCAAAAGGAATAGGTTTAAGACGGCTTAAATCCGAAAATACTTTTGTGGAAGGTTGCCACCTGTTTGAAAATTTTTATTAAATTTAATTGATAAGATAAATTAAAAATTGCAATATGGGTATGAAACTGAAAAGGTTTATTTTTGAGGAGAGTTGCCACCTGTTTAAAATTTTTTATTTAATTAAATTGATAAAATAAATGAAATACCTATTGCAATGCGGGTATCATGGGCCTATAACATCTTCTTTTGGTACTTAGAAACATCGGACCAAAGTTTTAATAACATTTCATGTTCATACAAGGCATAAGAATAGAAACAAGTAAATTTCGCGTTTTAAATATAAAAGATTGAGAAGTGAAAAATGATTTTTTTCAGTCAGTTTCCATATTAAATTCGATAAAATTATAAATTTTGTACATAAATATTTTAACAAAATAATATAAAATAAAATCCGCAACTTGTAACTGTTGTTTCTGGAAGTGGTTGCCGAAAGTGGCAAAAAGGTCTTTCTGACTGTTCACACGTGGAAATAAAACTTCTATTTTTTCAATTTGACTGCGAACTGCGTGGAAAAGTTGGAAATATTGCCACGTCTGACATGCTCTTACGTAAGTTCCAGCATTAAATAATATATACAATAACGGTTTCAAATACAGATATGATAAGTTCAATAAGTTATGTATGTATATCACAGTGGCGGATTCAGCGGGGAGGTTTTTGGGTGTTAAATTACGTGTCAGTCAGTGACGCACCCACGGGGGTGTTTTAGCACCCAAATAAGTGGAATCAGAAGTTCCTCCCTTATATCTTTGAGCGCTATTTTATATCAAATATTATACTTATATTTATATTTTACATGAACTCCTATGCATATCAAAGGTTTACCTGAGCAAAAGGTTAAAATGCTTAAAAACTTTAACAAAAAATCACCTCACATTTTTATAGCGTCACATTCATTTAGTTTCAAGGCCCCGCTTTGTATCTGACTTAGTTATAAATACATACATATATATGAGTTGAGTGTTTGCATAATAAAAAAATTTTAAATAAATTAGCATAAAATTGTAGATGAATCACGTTGTTGTGTTTTTTCACTAAAGATCTTCAAATACATAAATATACTATGTACCAGGGATGAAAAAGTAGGTACAATTGTACCTTTTTCCGACGTTTGATGGTACATAGGTACAGTCACTAGATTTTAGGTACTATCATCTTTTGATCAGATGCATTGATGCAGTTTTTTTCCTTTACCGTGCTAATATATTTACTTGTAGGTACGGGAGAAGTTTCGCTTTCATTTTGAAGAATAAACAATTCTAGATAAAAGTGGTCAAAAGGAAGACATAAAAAAACCATTATCTTAAACATTTTACATTGCATTTAGAGCAGGCACTACGAAAAATTAACACTTTACTTAGCTTCGTAATTTTTTCTATTAATTTTAACGCTTATTTTCACTAAGTCAAATTCAGTGGCATTTGCGGTCAAATGAGTGAAATGGGACTAAAAACTGGCTTTGGTTTGATTTAGATCAGAATAGGCCTCCATTGTCAAATGGGACTAAAAAATGGTCTTTGGTTTGATTTAGATCAGAATAGGCCTTCAGGCGTGTACATGCGCTGCTAAGGCGGCTATTTGTAAGTTTTTGGCCCATAATATCATCGATAAAGGAAAGAAAGTCAAAAAATTTTGTTGTCAAAATATTACATTGTGAAAACTAGCCTTTATTCATCCATACAGCCCAGTGACTAGGATGTCTTCAAATTTCATATTTTTAGATGAGAACTACAGCTATTTGACCCATACTCGCTTTTTGATTTCTGGAAATATATTTAAAATGCTTTCGATGTTACTTACGGCACATTGATTATATTCTCTAGATTTGCTGCACCTATTAAAAGGAATCGGATAAATTAGCAGACTTCCTGTTGTTTTATAAAAAGCTGGATAAAGAAGTATACTTCACAAAGTGTGTTTTTTGTCTTTTTCGCCAATATTTTTCAGTAGTCAAAATTAGACAAAAACAATGCTTCTCCGATTTCCATTAGACTATAGTCTATAGATATAGGCTCATGTTTAAAGTACATATATCTTTTGTGTTAATGTTTTAAATAAAATTTATAAAAAAAACTACAAATGAATGATGTAACTTTTTTTATGTACAATCTGTCTCATTTAGGTACATTTATTTTGTGATATTTGGTACAATCTGAAATTTCCATTTTTCATCCCTGCTATGTACATATGTGCATTTGTACTGCATGTACATTAGACTGTGCCACTTTACAAGCAAGTAAAAAGAGTTAGCTGTACTGTAGATCCCTGAGTCGAGAGTACTATTTTTGAGGATAATTTCGAAAATCTTTTTTTTCTGGCCGAATAATCCAAAAACTTCCCCCGCAAAAGGTTAGTAATTTTTGGCCAGTTTATTTGCTGACATTAGGGTGTTACGTTAGGGTGGTAAAAACTGAGATCTAATGGGTCGAACAGGGCACTTGAGGTTATAAAATATTGTTGCAAAATTAGCAGAAACATCGATGCATCACACTGTACGATCCGACTGTAAATGCCGAAAATGCGATGAAAAATGTAAAAAGGTGTCCCCCACGTTTATCTTAACAATTTTTTTCTTCGAAATTGCCTTGCAAAAATATTTCCGACTCGTTTTTTTCTGATACGGTCTAATGTAAACACATATTATATGTATCCAAACATACATGCTTATAAAAATTTTTGTTTTCAATGATTTTGCGGTAATATTATTCGGTATAATCTGATGTGATTTTTTTTCACAATGTGTTCATTGTCTCATTGGCGGGTATTCTAAATAATGCATAGTTTTGTATTTCTGTACCTACTGTTACACTGTTAACTGTTGCTGTGGTTGCTGTACTTCGATGAAGCATACCACATATGTACATATATTGAAGCACCCCTGCAGGAAATGTATTCAACTATAAGCTAACTTTAAGTAGATTAGAAAGGAGCTAAAAGTCACTATTATTTGTAGATTTTCTTTGACGAAAGCTAACTATATTTCTATGGCGACGGCCGCGAAATAGTCAAGGATGGTTACGTCTGTATTAGATGTAGCCAAGGGTGGTTACCCCTGCATTTGATGTAACTGACTTGTAACTAACTACTTTTGGACATAAAATATCAATAGGAAAAACAAACTATTTTTATTTTTTATTTTTTTTTATTGCATTTCATATTTGTTTACATATTCTGCTGTAGGTGGTCCCATATTCGAACTCCGTCAGACATAACTTCAAAATGAAATGAAAAAAAAAGCATTTGCGAAGTGCAGGATATTTAAATAGCAACGTGTTTAAAGAAAACAGTCTCCTGCATTACTTGTCAACAAGTTTCAAGTTAGCTTTTTGTAGCTAACTTTCTAGTTATATATTTTATAGAAATCATGCAAAAAAGCTAACTACAAGTGGGTTATTTTATATCAATTGATAATTTTTTTCTGCAGTGGCATATGTACATGTTTTACATACATATATGTAGCTAACTATCTATGCATATACATATGTGCATAGACAAACAATCAAACGTATTCACTCAAAATCCGTCACAACAAACTAACCACCCAAGTCACTTGTTAATGTCAGCCTGTATAAACCAACATGTTAACTACACCACCGTTGACCTATTTACCGCTTCGAGCCGGTATAATGTGTCCAAGTAAATAAAAAAAAAAAAATATGAAAATGTTGACTTTGGCGCCTCCCATTCCATGAACTTACTGAACACTCCCGTACATACATACATATATTGTTTTTCTATGTGTTTTAGCCGTATTACTCTCTTCATCGTTCTACGGATATGCTTCCCTATTGCGCAGTTATCCATTATATTCGATCCATGGAAAATTCATTGCTATAGATACATATGTATGCACATTAGGGTGGTCCAAAAACAGTAAAGTCGGAATTGTAATGGAAATAATGATTTTTAATCACCATCTATACCATTTCTACGAAAAATTGTTTTTTCCATATAAAATATGTACATGGAAAACTTTTAGCGCTTTGAGCGACCTCTAAATATATTTTTGATTTCAAAATAAAAAAATAAGGGTATACTTTTTTTTGGTATAGAACTATCCTAAGGGGTGAGAGCATAAATTTCCGACTTTCCTGTTTCCCCCCACATGCAATTTTGGACCACCCTAATGTACATACATATCTGTATGTATTCATATATCTATGCGTGTTTGAGGAAAATTCCGCCATGCCAGTTAACTAAATGAATTTTCTTGTTGAATTTCCTTTGTAAAAAAATTAAATTTCATATTGCTTTTCACACGCTCTCTTTAAATTCATACATTTATTATTAACAAGCATTTTCAATTGCTCTAATTTGCAGTTATTTTAAGTACTCGTATGAATTGTGCAGCTGCTTCCATTTTGTTTGTGCCTGTAGTATTTATTAGGGCAATGTGTTGGCTTTCTTGTCGACATTTTTAATTAAGCTTTCTTTGTTCAAAAGAAATTTAATAATATAATAGCTCGTAAAAGCCTTTTCTTATACGTGTGTATGTTCATAAATATATGTACATATGTATGTAAAAGTGTAGGGTTAAACATTTCTTGCAATAATTTGATCGCATACATGTAGAGCTTTGGTGAATTAAGGTGACGATATGTAGTTAGAAGCATGGTAATGAAAAAAGAAGTAAATTGTTTCTTATTGAATGTCATTCATAACCTTAAAGCTGGTACATATTCAGTAAGTCAGTCTTATTCCAGTCACTAAATTTGAGACAGTAACAGGACAATTCTGGCAACTGTCTTTCAATTCCCCACAGTCTCTCGAAAGACAAAACTCTTCCCCAAGACAATTGTAAATTCTGGCAACTATCTTGAAAGCTCTTTACTGTCTTTCGAAAGGCTAATTGAAAAATCTGCTAACGAGGAGGTCTTAGCTTTATGCTGTTCGCCTTTGAGCAATAAGCTTTTTAAAAATTAAATGAAATAAATAAAATATATATATTTTTCTTTTTAAAACAATAAAATTTAATAAATAAAAAAATTCAACTAGAAAAGGGAAACAATTTTATTAAAAAAGGAAATAAAACTTCAATTAGATTAAAAACATTTTTATTAGCAAAAACAAAATAACAACAATTAACAAAAATGAATGAGTTTCCATAAATTAAAGTAATTAAAAAAAATATATTTTTCGTTTTGAAAACAATAAAACTAAAAATTAAACGAAAATGAAATTAACAAAAGAATAACAAATTGAATTAAAAAAAAAAAATAAATAAAATAACGTTCTAAAAAGTAAATGAAATTAAGAGAAAATATTTTTCTTTTTTACACAATAAAAGATAACAAGTAATTTTTAAGCAAACAACTAAATCGACTTCAATTCTCACATAAAAATTTGAGATTATCGTTAGTTTTGTCACGATCCAATGATCGGATTTAAGCCAAATTAGTATGGGAGGCAACACCTTTCCTTTAAAAAAAGAATTATAGAAATCGGTTATCGCGGTCCAAAGTTATGCGGTAACATATATAAAAAAAAATATTCCGAGGAATTGATAACCTTCCTTTTTTGTGAAGTCGGTTAATAATTAAAAGAAAATTAAGTAAATAAGTTCCAAAAAAAAATTTTTGAAAAAAGATAAAAAACTTAGTTCATAAAAATTAACTGAAAAAAATATTCTTCTTAAATCATAACAAAACATTAAATAAAAAACTTAGAAAAGAAAAAAATACATTAAATAAGTTTCTAAAAATTAAATTAAATTTTAAAATATTTTTTTTTATTTATCTTTTTTTAACCAAAAAATACATTAACTAAGTTTCTAAAAATTAAATTAAATTATTTTTTAAATTTAAGTTAATTTTTGAAACTTATTTAATGTATTTTTTTCTTTTTTAAAAATAAAAAATTGGAAAAGTTATATTAAAAATGAAAAAATGTAGACTAAGAAAAAGAAAAGTAATCCGCTTCTCCAGAACTCGAACCCGAATTTGTCGATCGGTACGCCTGTACTTTGCCCACTCCGCCATTGCGGTAAATGGCAGACAAGTGCTCTCTCTCAGAGTAGCTTTTCACCACGAGTGGTAAATGAGACAGCCGAGTGAGCAAAGCACTAGCATGTCATTCGAGAGATCCGAGGTCGAATGCTGGCGCAGCGGATTTTTAAATTATTTATTTTTATTTAACTTGTATTCTTTTATAATTTTATTTTCCTAATTTTTTTATTTTATTGGTTTAAAAAAATATATTTTTAAAATTTCAATATTTTGACACATGCTGCAAGTAAATGTCAACCCTGCGATGAAATATGAATATTAGGTATGCTTCCGTACAACTCATTATCCCCTCACCCACATGCAAGTTACAGACCGTTTTCGAATTTTTCGATATATTTGCAGCGTGCAAGTAGCACGTGTGGTCCTAAAGTAAAATTCATCACATACTTACTGCCGGTTTCGCAAAAGCAATTTAAGCAATCTTACGTAAAAACAATTCTGAAAGCAGTTTATAAGCAAACTTAATCCGATACATCAAATTAGTTGACAAGTTAGTTGGCTGGTTGGTAGTCATTTGATTGAGTGCCGAATAAACATTTAAGTAGAGTTTAAATGCCGCAAACTTAAATCAATTTAGGGCCCCAACGAAAAAATATAACTTAACTTAATGACACTACCCCAAATTTGAATAAAACAACCTTGTATGTCGCACTCACATTTAATTGAATTCTTTTTCCATCTTCGGTGGCCGCTATAAAATATCGAACGTGCTTTTCTTTTTTTATTTCTCGAAAGATCTTACCACGTCAACGTAACAATGTGGATGATAGAACTAATCAGCTATTAAATCCGCAAAACAATGAATTGAATAAAAAATTAAATGCGTGCGCGCTAGTTTAAAAACTAGTTCAGCAAGTAGAGCGAGCAAAAAATTATGTCACATACAGCGCTGGTCATATCTATAGCACCCCCATTTCAAAGTGATATTGTTTGCCACTTATGTTTAATTATTTATTTTTGAGAATTTTCAATTAAAATGTAGTTAATTTCTAACAAAACTCATTTAAACCCAAGTTTTAAACTTTTTAAAAGACCGCAAAAAGTGCAATAAATTTTCACCCAAATTTCAAACTTTTTTCGCAGAAGTGCTAGAATTGCTTGAGACTTGCACATTATTAGACTAAAATTGAATGGGCTATAAATCTGTATACTCACAAAAATTCTAGCTCTTCTAAGAAACAAGTTTGAAATTTGAATGAAAATGTGTAGCAGTTTTTTGCGGTATTTTAAAAAGTTTAAAACTTGGGTTTATATGAGTTTTGTTAGAGAATGAACTGTATTTTAATTGAAAACTCTTAAAAATAAATAATTAAACATAAGTGGCAAACAATATCACTTTGAAATGGAGGTGCTATTATATTGGCCAATACTGTATTTAAGAAACAAAGATATTCATTTACATTTTTGTATATTTTTTAGCATAGAAACAAATAAAATATTAAAGCCATTAACATGACATACCACTCACTACGCATGTATTCAGAGCGTTATCGAATATATATTTTTTTAAATTTTAATTTTAAACTTACATTCAATCAAATTAAGCTAATTTTATTTTTTTTCCTTACAGCTTTTTGCCATTGCCGCCATTGTATTGATCGCCGTTTATCCTGGGGCAGTACCAGATGACTGGGATACAGCGGCCTTTATCATATTTGGATTGGTCATTTTATTCGCTATCATCGGTTGCGTGGCGGCGTTGCGCGAGTCTATCTGCCTCACTGTGACAGTAAGTAAAAAAAAAAAATTGTGTTTGGATCCCACGCGCGACTGAAGCGATAATTATTCTTCATACTACACTTATGTATAGCTCACCATATTATATGAGTAGTTTTCTGCATAATAATGAAAAATTATCTTAATCTCAATTGTAATCGTAATCTTAATCTGAAGCTATCTCAGTCCCAATCTCAACCTCAATATCTTAATCTCAATCTTTAACTTAATTTTAATCTAAATCGTAGTCTTAACCTCAATCTTTGAATCCTTAACTTAATCTTCATCTTAGTATTAACTTAACTTAACTTAACTTAATCTTAATCTTAGTATTAATCTTAATCTCAATGTCAATTTTAGCCTCAATCTAATCTTAGTATAAATCTTAGTCTTAATACTAATCTTAATCCTAATCGTAATTTTAATCTTATTCATCATTTTAATCTTAATCGTAATTTTAAACTAATCGTCATCTTATTCTTAATTTAAATCTAAATCTTAATCCTTATCCCAATTCCAATTTTACCCTCAACTTAAATTTGATCAAATCGAAAAGTTAATCTTAATCTTAATCGGAATCTGAATCTTAATCTCAATCGCAATCGTAGCCCCGACCTCAATCTGAATATCAATCGAAATCTTAATGTAAATTTTAGTGTAAATCTTAATCCACAATATATTAGTCTTAAGCTAAATCGCAATCTTCATCTTAATACCAATTCCAATCTCAATCTTAGAATTAACCTCAATTTGAATCTCAATAGAAATCTTAATCTTAGTGTAAATCTTAGTATTAATGTTAATCTTAATCTTCTTAATATAAATAGAGCCCAACAAACCCTGCCATCCGATCGCAAAGTTTCACTTAAAAAAAATATTATTAAATTATCAAAAATTCCCTGGGTTAAAATTTAAATGTTGTCTCATTTCAGTGCGCTGTTTTCTTGTTGCTGCTAGCTATTCTACAAATCGCTGTCACCATTATCATTCTTAATGACCGTCAAACGCAAAGTGGCATTGCCATAGTGGAAGATGCTTGGGATCACGACAAGATCGAGGCCTTGCAAGCGAAATATGAATGTTGCGGCAAAGATAGTTCACAAGATTACATTTTGCTGAATCGTCAAATACCGCTCAGCTGCTATGAGGATCAAACTGAGGATGCCAATAAAATGTACACCGAAGGTTGCAGCGCCAAATTGCAGCGATACTATGACAGTGAGACAGCGAGTATTGCCACTGTCTCGTGGGTGGTTACGGCTCTTGAGGTGAGCAAGAATTTTTGGTTATACAATTGAAAATATATGTATGTATAAAACTATATTTTATTTATTTCGACAGATACTCGGCTTCTTATTAGCCGTCTTTTTAGTCATCAATTTCCGTAACAAACAGCGTCGTATGCAGTTCTAGAGCTGCATTGTTGGCCGTCGTTCAGTACAAATTTATGCTTAACGTCTCGAATAATGTTGAATGCTATGCTGCGGAAAAAAATACTCGTACTCTGTCTGCTTGATGTAGTAGTTATTCATGGAACATACCTTTTCATTTGTGCAATTATTGTAATTTATTTGTTGTATATGTATTTATTATGTCTATTTGATATTTACTGAAGTCACCGCAGCGAAGCGTAATCGATTAAAGTCAAAGTGAGTTTAAGATAATATTTATGTTGGGGTGTTCTTCTGCTTCTAATAGGGACTACGAAATGTACTATCTTTGTAAAGTACACGAATGGCTTTCACCCAGATACATAGAAGATGTTGAACAAAGATGAGAAAGCTTCAGGGACATTTCCTAGAGTTATTAACTCTCAAACCAGCAGCTTTGAAATAGTGATCCGAAATGGTTGGGAATTTTTTGCATAACTTGGGCATGATAAATAGACTCAATGTCGTCATCTATGTATATACCATTTTGTCGCTTCGTTTGACTTTCAGGTGAGATAAAAGAAACAGTGCCTCCAGGCACTGTTATCGGTTAAAGCAAAAAGTTTAACAGAACAACGGAATCTAGAAAAATGTATTACTTTTTTGTGTCATACTCCAAAAAGCAAATTTTTTGCCGCAGATCAGTTAAATGTAAATTGCATACTTCGCAAATATATTGAGTTTACGACTTTTTACAAAATTTGCCACTTTCTCCAGCCATTTAGGAAGTTGATTGTTACCGTTGAAACGAACGTTATCAACAGGATATACAGATTCTTTGCCAACACTCACAGCTGCAGGTAACGATTCATCTTGTTGAGTAGAAGGTTGACTTGTTGAAGATGGGCGACCAACCGAACGCGTCTGAGTGTAGTTCACAAGACCTGCAGCGACCTATTCTCAGAATTCAGGTATCAATGAAATGATAAGGAAGGTGGTCATTGCATCCATCTTCATCTCGTAACGACAAGAATTTTTTATCGCTTCAAACCGTTTCAATGGCATTATTTTGCGAATGGGTTCGAATGCATTCTTGATCAAATAGCTCTCTGAATTCGGGTAGCGATAAACCGACACGTATAAATGAATGCCAATGTACAGGCAGGTATCATCGACATTCGTATTGAATCCTGATATCCTGATTTATATCCTGAATTAGAGCACACCGGTTCGTCTCTTGAACAATAGTTTTAATTACGTCTTTAGAGAAAAAATATAGAAATAATTGCGACGGCGTTGAGAGCGCTTCTATATGCTCAGGTAATAAAGCGGAGCCACGAAATGCCACCTCATTTATATGAAGTTTAAGGTTTGTTTTGCGCCAGATCACTTTGCTGAGTTCAGCAGAATCTTTGTTTATTGATTCAATGCCTGCAATAAAAAATCCAAACGATCAGTACTTAAAAAAACAATTTCCAAAGATGGGAGAGAAATTCTTACTTCCATTAAAACCACCATTGGTTGGTACAACTGCTGGACCGGTAGCTTCGGCTATTGGTAATGGCGAACCGACTCTTGTTTTGAACTGGAGTGACAGTCAATTCCATGAAAGTCGATGGAATCGCATCGGTCGATGAAATGATTTCTTCACCGACAGTGACAGTCTCTTTGATTGCAGAAGTGTTCAATGAATCGTTGGCTGCATCGGTGATAAACAACTCCAATCCCGAAGGCACTGCAATATGAAATGTTCGTCATCTGGACTTATTTCCTCTGGCTGGTAGTTTCGATAAATAGAGACATTTTCGTTGCTTGAATCTTCTTCACTACTAGTCTCCACAGAATCAATAAATTCAAGGATTTCTTCTCCTGATAACTTCGACAATTTCACACGCGACATCATGAGACGATTTTCATATATTGTTATTTACACACTTTATGAAAAACAGGTGAAAAATTTATAAAAATTATTTGCATTACCGGGAAAAAGCACCATAAATAAAACGCAATAGAAAAATAAAAATTAGGTTTTTCGCTATAGAACATAAAATCCAACTATTTTCAACACCGTAGTTATTAAATCATACAGCCTATGACTAACTCTTTACGGGAATTAAATTCTTGAGTTAAAAGATCGTCTCCAAAATAAAAATTTGCGATGCTGAAAATCAGAAATTTCTTAATACGAAAATGCGACCTCATCTACCTATTCACAAAAAAACGGATTACAAACGGCCCGTCGCATTACATTCTAATTTGAGAAAGAAATGTCATCAGAAATATGATCAAGAGCGTTGAACTCACTTGCGTAATGAAAAATTATGTATTCATATGCAAAATGTGATTTTTGTGATCCTTGCCTTGAGGCACTCTTAACGGTTAGAGGGTTAAGGCTTTACCAATTGGGTCTGGTCGATGTTGGCAGTTTATGGCGATCATGTTGTTTTGGAGCGTCTGCAAGTTAAACGACTGAGTAACGTGTCCAAATGAAAAAAGGAACTGTATTATCAAAATAAGTGGTTGCTTTACTTCAGTCACGATCGTTCTTTAAAGTCGACTGTCCAAAATTTCATTGCCAAATTTTAGTCTGAAAGAAGGAAGCATCCAAGGCGCGCACAATATTCGGCCATTCACAGCAGTATAGGATCTAAAGGGCCCAGAAGAAACTTAATTTTTGGAAGTTTGTTTCATTTATTTCTGCTTTTTTTAATTTAATTTTTTATTAAAAATATCGTTGTTATATTTCAATTAATTTATGGAGACTTATTTTTTTCTTCTTTTAATAATTATTTTTTTCTATTTTTAGTGTTTAATTTTCTTTAAATTTTTAAATTGTTTGTTCAAAAAAGAAACATTTTTTTTTTTTAATTCTTAGAATTTTATTTTCTTCTTTAAATTTAATTTGGATATCTTGTTTTAATGTAATTTTCGTAATTTTTTTTTTATTTTACTGATCTAAAAAAGAAAAATATGTTTGCTGTATGTAATTTAATTTTTAGAATACTTTTTAATTTCTAGAAAATTTTTCTCCTTCTTCTTTATTGGCGCTGTAACCGCCTAAGCGATTTTGGCCGAGTCCAAAACAGCCCGCCAGTCATTTCTCTTCTGTGCCAACTGACGCCAATTGGAAATGCCAAGTGAAGCCAAGTTCTTTTCCACCTGGTCTTTCCAACGCAGAGGAGGCCTTCCTCTTCCTATGTTACCAGCATCGTGGCCCGCGTTGAATACTTTTAGAGCAGGAGCGTTTCTGTCCATTCGAACGGAGCCGCTGAATTTTAATTCGCTGCGCTATGTCTATATCGTTGTAAAGTTCATACAGCTCACCGTTAAATCGTCTGCGGTATTCGCCATCGCCAACGCGTCCGCTTCATCAGACNGGTCTTTCCAACGCAGAGGAGGCCTTCCTCTTCCTATGTTACCAGCATCGTGGCCCGCGTTGAATACTTTTAGAGCAGGAGCGTTTCTGTCCATTCGAACGGAGCCGCTGAATTTTAATTCGCTGCGCTATGTCTATATCGTTGTAAAGTTCATACAGCTCACCGTTAAATCGTCTGCGGTATTCGCCATCGCCAACGCGTCCGCTTCATCAGACGGTTTCATTGTCCATGCCTCCGCGCCATACACCAGCACAGGCATGATGAGTGACTTATAGAGTGTGATCTTTGTACGACGAGAGATCTTTTAATTAGTCTTTCGAAAGACAGTACAGAGCTTTTAAGATAGTTGCCAGAGTTGACTTTTGTCTTTCGGAAGAGTGTGGTGAGTTGAAAGGCAGTTGCCGAACTGCCCTGTAAATCTGTTTAATGTAAACAAAAGGTCGTTTTGCGAAAAATCATATGTGTTTAGCTTGAAACAAAGGCGATATGGTTTATGATTTTCTCAATTTAGCATTATTAACTGCCCGGTACATGAACCCATTAATGTGGCGTATACGCCCACGCCTTTTTACATTGAAACCGGTGACGTTTTAGTGTGGTTTTTTGCAGATTTTTACTTAGCAAACCCACGCAAGTACGATTTTAGATTAAATTTATGTATTTTGGGTGCAAAAAAATGTGTAAGTAAATTTGAATAGTCGCAGAGTTTATAAACAAACAAACAAATCAGTCAACACTGTCGCCTAAAGCACATGAGAAATACCTGAATTGAGTAGGAGAAGAGAAATGCTAAATTTTCCACTGTTTAATGATTGAGATTGATTTTGTTTATTTTTTCTCCTAGGCAGGGCCATCAGTAGAAAATGCGGGTCCTTTAGTAAATACCTGTTTGATTTTCAAAAGGATTTCCAAAGATGCGCTCCCTACATATGTATGTATGTACATGATTTCTTGATTAAAAAACTTTATATTAGGAGACAACTGTTTCTGCTATACTGTTGTACAACACAACTAATTCGGTTTAATTTTAGTCAAAATGCGTTCTGAAATTTAATAAGAATGTAACTATGATTTCAGAATATTGTTGTTAACTACAAGGAGAAACTGATGACGATGAATTTAGAAAAAGGATAATAGTAGGAGATCCGACAAGGGTACGACCTTCACCCATATGTTTAATGGATGCAATTTAACGTGTTGGGAAATATTTCGCGAGTGGGTTGGCTAAAACAATCCTGGCCATGATATTTTTAATTAAATATTCAAAAATTATTATTTTTTTTTTGATTTTGCACTTATTTGTTAAATTTTATACAAAATAGATTTCATCCATTAAACAGATGGGTGAAGGTCGTGCCCTTGTCGGGTCTTAGACTTAAAGTAAACATTTTTTAATTGTATCGCCAAAGATTGTATTTTCTGATGAAAAGTTTAATACCTCAGTGGGCTCTCAACCGAGTTTTGTAGATAGGCTTTCGCTTTACTCGTTATTAAATATACTCGTTGAATCATTTCAGAACTAGTATCGTTGCTGTACAAAATAGTGCGGAAAAACAACACCAAAGTCGAAAGAAGTTATACATTCGGTTTTCTGGGAAAAACACACAGATCCGTTAAGTTTTTAACCGCCTTCCGAGGAGGAGGTTATCAGTTCGTCGGAATATTCTTTTTTTTTACGTATGTTGCCGCACAACTTTGGACCACGTCAACCGATTTCGATAATTCTTTTTGCATCGGAAAGGTAGTGTCTCAGATCTGGGTTAGATCCGATGATTGGATCATGAGTTATATATAAACATACATACAATATATATATAAATATATATATTTTTATACGAGAATTGAAGTCGGTTTTTTTTTTTGCTAAAAATTACTTGTTTTAAATTCTTGTTGTTTAAGACGGATAATATGCGCCTTGGATGCATTTATTAAATGAAAGGAGAATCCGAATAAACTCATAAAGGCTTTCTGTGTTTACATACATACATAATTCGTTCTTTTACATCATGCATTAAACGAGTTCATGAAAATTTTGCCCTTAGCTAAGTACATATATAAAGGGAAACCAAAATAATAAATATTTTCTCTTCCTTAAAAACAAAATCCAAACTTAATCCAGAAATGCAAGAAATTATTCGCAATCAATCAAACGAGAATTTTCTGGTGCCAGCGATGTCACTTGTTGCTGTCACTTGCAAAGGATAAACCTGCCTACCGGTGTAAATAATTGCCGTTGGAACTGAGTACATAAAATAAACAAAATATAAAGATTTGTTTATACAACAATAGGCAGATGTAGTTGCTAAGTTCGCAAGTGGAAATACATACATATGTTTTTTGCACAACTTGCCACAAGCAAACTAGTTCACCGTATGCAAGTACTTCACCTCGGTATGGATGTGTATATGTATGTACTCAGTCTCGTTGTATTGAAAACAGTCACCAGCTACTTGTTGATTATACAATGCATCTGTTGGCGAGCGCGATGACGCACGTTCACCTTGAACTTTTGCTTTGTGCGCTTGGTTATGTGTGGTCATACGTTGCTAAATATGTACGAGCAAGTGTAGATAGATGCTCATCTTTATGAATGGCCCACATAAATTGTAAACAGCATCGCATTGTCGCAACGCTGATCAAGTGATGAACAGAAAGAAGCCAGTCAGACAGACGGCGGGCGCATGGTCTCCATGTTCTAAATTGAATTAAATTCAAATAAATTGTTGTAGTTATAATTAGGCATTTTATTGTATGTCTTTGTGCGCTTTTATTGACTGTTGCGCGGGCGGGAGATGTTACAGCTTGCGTGGCTAGTGGCCATGTGAAAGCTATTTAATAGAGATTAAATATATATTTATAAAAAGAGAACTATAAGTGCATAAGTGCTAGTTAACAAATGAATGTTGCAGTGGCAAGAAATCTGACTAATTAGTCATATTAGAATTATAATTCGTTATGAAATTACATGTACATATGTACGTACATACAGGAGAAAAAAATCTAACAGGAAAATGTGCTGAGCTTATTCAAACTCATTATCCTTCTTTTAGCAGCAATAAGTACCTGAAGTGATGTTAAGTCGTACCACATATTTGTCTCTTTACTAACCTAAGGATCTCTTTTGACGGTCAACAGTTCACTACCGGCCAGAATAGCTTTGCAACTTTGAATTTCGCGAGTTTCATCCAACGCTCGTTGAGATAATTTCAAGTCCATCTGTCGGTCGATCTATATGGTCATAAGAATCCATAACCATAACTAAACAAATTCGGAAGTACTGCTGGAAAATTGGTGGAAATTTTTTAATCAGACCGATTTTGAACAGAAACTCCCTGGTAGTGTCAAACAGCTTTTTCGAAGTTCGAGTTTCCTCCTCCCAAGTTTTCGGGGAAAATTCTACTCCCTGGTAGTTAATTGTTGGAGAATATTAAGAATTAGGCTGAATACCTTCCCCGTCACTACCATTCGAAATATAGATACGTTAATAAATTTACACTGAATTCCTGAACCGAAGCAGATGGAGCAGTCCAATAATCCCAACTACGTTCGGATGCCAATTTCAAGTAAGGCTGAACTACCTGCACATTTTAATAAAGTACGTTTCGTAATTATAGCACATCAATGAAATCGTTGTTCTGTCGCCATATAAATTGCACTGGGAAGTTAATAAATTCAAACTCTCCCTTCCAGTCCCCGATAAAAGAATTTCATTATACAACTTAATGATACCCCTATTCTGCTGCAGTGATTTTCGTTGCATAATTATAGGACAACTAAAATTTTGTGTAAAAATGGGCAAGAGAAATTTTGAAGACGTATAATTAGAACAGTTTCGAAATCTTTAAGATTAGACTTTACAAAGGTGGAATTATAAGAACAATGAAATTTTTGACAAATATTTATAGCAGGAGTTGTACGTAAATAATTAAATTAAATATGATGACGAAGATAAGAAGAAATTGCCTCCATTTGGTTCAAATAAGTGACGGAACTTCACAAAATATAGAAGCCTTAGGGAACTATCTTAAGGAACTGTCTTAGTTTTGACATGAACAAAGAAACTTGTCTCATTTTAGTAACAATTCGAAAGATTTCTTTGAGTCTAACTTAACTTAAATTAATACTAATATACCTGAAATTGTTTTTCTACAGACTATAACTTCAAATTGAAAAAATGGTTGAAAGGAGTACCTTTTGAATGATGCATTGTATCGCACATAACTCAAGTAATAATATCCTACTAATATTATAAATGTGAAAATTTGCGAGTGAGTATATTTGTTGCTCCTTCATGCTAAATCGGCTTGAAGTATTTAAATGAAATGTGGTACACAATTACGAGAATTGCTAACTTTTCAAAAGTTAAAATCAATTAAAATAAGTTAAATAAAACATCACAAGATTGTGTGGGTGTCAAACGAAAGGGACTCTAAATTGATTTACTTTGAAATAACTTTGAGTAGGGTTGCCATCTGTTCAAAGTATTCACATCAATTTAATTAACAAGTTAAATGCAATATATTTATCTGCATATCAACCTAGAGAGGTTTAGAAAAGCTTCATTTCGAAAATACTTTTTGAGAGTGTTGACACCGGCTTTGGAGTTTAAAATTAATTTAATCGACAAGTTGAACGAAATATTTTATATGTGAATCAAATAAACCAACAGAGGTCTAAGGAAGCTTAAATTCGAAAATATTTCTGAAGAGGGTTGCCACCTTTTTGGAAATTAAAGACAAGTTAAAGTAAATATTTTTAAATGGATATCAAACGAGAGCGATTTCAGAGAGGTTTATTTCGGAAATATTTTTGACAAAGGGTGCAACCTGGTTAAAAAATCAAAATCCACTTCTTTGACAAGAAAAATGAAACCTTTAATATGGATGTCAAACGTGTAAGGTTGACGAAAGGTTTATTTCAAAAATATTTTTGAAAACGGTTGTCGCCTGTTTAGAAATTAAAAATTAATTTTATTAAGTAAACTGAAATATTTTAATAAGGGTGTCGAATGAATAAGCTTTATTTCTAAAGATAAGTTGAAGCTTTATTTTTAAAATATTTTTGAAGGGTTGCAGTAGTTTAAAAGTTCCAGTTTTAATTAATGAGAGATTAAATGAAACATTACAGTGCGGGTATCTAAAGGAAGAGCATAAAGAAAAATTGTTTCCAAAATATTTTGAAGAAGAACTCTAAGTATTTTAAAAATAAAATTTTACTTAGTCATTTAGTTAATAGATCGTACTAAGTAAGTACCATTATTTATACTAAATTTGTTTGAAAGAATGGTTTTGGTTATGGTGATGTAAGGGTAGGTTTTCAAACCCATTGCGCCGCGACCAAATTTGATCAATTGTGCACCCTATTTCAACTTTAGTTGTTTAGTATACACAAGAATTGTATTAAGGCCTGCTGCGAAATCTGCATTGGGTCGATATCGCTGAGCATATAGTCTTTTAAAAATCTGGCACAGCGGTGAGCTAGTGTTGGGCAGGTGGTAATGAGGTGTTCCATTGATTCCTCTTCTTCACCACAGAACCTGCAGATGTCTGTACAACAGAGGTCAAGCATATACATATACTTGTTGCACATATAGTGGCCTGTTCAGTGTGCTCCACACAGTGTTTTTAGGTTTTTCCTTCTTAGCTTGTGCGCTGATTGAGCTCTTTTTTCACTGAACCAAAGGAATTTCTAACTTATCCCAATAGCTAGCAGTGCAGGATATTACCCTCTTGTTGAGGTCCTTCTTAATATCACTTTTAGCTTGGAAAAAATTCTATAAGAGAGTTGTCACATTCCTAAAATTTATTCTTTCAACTTTTTCCGTTTATATTCAAATTTTTTCCATTAAAGTTAGATAAAAAAAAATTTAGCGGTGATATGAAACCAAAATTATATTCTTATATTTAAAGGCCACCTACGAAAGATAGGTCGTTCTTTATGCTGAAACGGATAAATTAGCTAAAATTTAACACAATAATTCCCAGGAAAGGCAAATATTGCGTCTCTATAGCATTCGTTACAACAGACAGAGGTGCAGCTGTAACCCTTAACAGCTTAAATATCACAGTATATTTCATAAGAAAATGTTTTAAATGCATTTCAATTATTAATAGCTTTCGAAAACGCAACAATTTCCATGTATGTTTCAATTTATGTATGTTGGAAAAGTCTCCTCGAAAATTTAACTTCCTTATCTTTTGCTGTAGGACAGCTCAACTATTATTGAAAAATCACAAAAATAAATTAAATTGTGTGTTTTAGCTTTACTTGTCCTTAAATTTCTTAGTATTAATTAAATCGGCCAGATTTTTAAAATATCCCATGCTTCACGTATCTCATTTGAAATACTTGCGAGTTCGCCATGCGCAACTGCCATGAAAATATCATAGAAAGAAAAATAAAAATATTTTGATAGCAGTATGTATTAGAGTAAAGCAAACCAAAAAAAAAAAGCTCGCTGGCGAAGGCACCACCAGCAAGGCAAATATGACATCCACCAAATGGCTTAAAGCTTAAACTATGACATCATCTAGCAAAGCAAAAATATTTATCCCTAATGCATAAGCATGTGTTTGTAAACACTTGTATGTACATAGAGGTGTGTATTCGTGAAAGGACATCAACAACAACTATCGAAAGGAAATACGAGGACAACGAAAACAACAAAAGGCAATCATGGTATGTATGAATGTAAGTTGGGTCAGCATTGAAAATAAGGGCTTGACTGGAGCCCGTTGAGTGGGTGTGTTGGCCGACACGAAAATGCGTAGTTACTCAGTTGATTGCATGACTTGAGTGGACTGGCGGTTGGAGTATGGGCTTTGTACATTCATATGTACATACATACATAGACAAGTATAGTCAATAATGGAGCAGTTGAGCGACGTGTTGACGAATTTGACGGTTTAGTTATATGCCAACAGCAGTTTGTTAAGGAAGTGTATTGCACGCAGAAAAAAGTGTTAAAATAAAAATAAAGTGGACAAATATATAAGCAAAAAAAAAAAAAATGAATGGATTAAAGACGTACAGTTGTATTCGTTATGTCGAATGAGAAGCTTAAAACAGGGGAATAGCTTGCCATTTAATGAAGCTATAAGAGCGCCGAAAAATGGACAAATTTAATTGTAGAGCAATACACATAGTAGGCACGCATAATATATTGATTTTAAGAAGACAATAAACTTTTAATTTAACTATAAAAATTCGTAAATTTAATTAATCGAAGGGCGCTTTAGCGCGGTTAGTGAAAGTGTTCAAACGAAAGCAAACGCAGTTAGTGAAGTTTAAGAAAACAATTTTACATTCCATATTATTTATAACCAATTAATAATGGCTCTAAAAATGTCCATATTAAAAGTTATTTTGGCATTTGTCAACACAATGCTGCCGGTGCGTATGAGTAACTTTCAAAGCTTACAAATATAATTGTTTACACGTGTAAATATTTGTTTTTTCGTTTGCGCGACAGCTGCTGGGCATCGGACTGATTGCGCTTTCTGTTTACGACCTAAACACTTCGACGCCTGGCACAATGCAACACATTTCGATCGTAATACAAATATTTATTGGCTCGTTTGTGGTACTCACCTCATTTCTGGGCTGTTTTGGATTGTGCCGCGAATCGTTGGGTCTCACGTGGAGTGTAAGTAAATGTTATTATTTCAAATATAGAATTATTCGATGAAAATGAAATGAGCTTTTTTTTATTTTAAAAATTATTTTACTAGAAAAAAACTTTCAGATAATTTTTGGGTTGCAATGCAGTTCTAGATTAAGCAGTGCTTAGTAGGACCTTTAACCTTGAACCGTTTTAGGAGACTAATTTTTATAGTAAAAGTGTTGCCATGGCTAAATTAAATTGTTGTTATAAATAGTAAAACCAATTTGAATAATAGGTATATAGCTACAGTTATCGCTTACAGTTAACGGTATAGGATTAGTTACTATTATTTTACATATATTTTATATACATATATTTATCACTATTTATTTGGCTTTTCTTTTAAACATCGTTACTGGTATACTATAGAATTACTTACTGTAATCAATTCCCTGTTAAAGATATCGACTTTTTTCTCGTTATCGTTATCGATATACATAGTACACCAATATTATTATCAATATCCTTCAGGCTATCGTTATCGGTATACATAGCTATAGTTATAATTATTGTTATCGATTTAGTTATTGTTATCGTTATCGATTTTCATATATAGTTACTTATATTGTTGCGAGAAAACTTCTAGCTATTAGTATAGTTATAAATAGATACCATTATTGTTATTGACTTCCTCGTGATTATCGTTATACATTAGTGCGGGTAGACTTTTTTTACTTTACGCGTAAAGCATATAGATTTATGACCAAGTGGATACGCGTTGTGCGATGCGAATAAAATATGTAGCTGCCAGCGATCAATTGCACAAATTCCTATATGGTTATGCTAATCACTGCACTATAAACACCTCCTAGGTCATAAACCTAGCCTAATAGCAGCCGCCCCAGGCAAACAATGGCTAGCAACCGAGTGTAATTTTCCATGGAAAAGATCCTGCAGCCGCCAAATGCCTAAGCGGCTAAGTCTATTTTTTTTTAATTGTTCAGGAGAAACAAAAAATTGATGTACTTTCGCATTATCTGTCATTGTGCATCAAAAACTAAATTAAAAAAAAAACTGGACTCGGCACCTTTTCACCTTTAGATAGCGATACGTGAATATAAAGAAAATTAAATTTTTTATTTATGAATTTTTGTAGTCTTAAAACACGGCTTGTATGAAATTGCTAATACGCAAATATTTTCACATCTTCTACATATGTTCTTTTCTCTACCACTTTACAGTACGTAAGTTGCATGTTAATATTAGTCACATTTCAAATTTATTTGATTGTTGTGGCTGGCATCACTGACTACGTGCAGAATACGACCGATCACTTTGATACGCTGTGGAGCAATGTGACCGTAAATGCAGCCGAAATTGCACAAATTGAGCAACAGGTTAGTCGCATTATAATAGAATGTACTTATTTGGTTGTAATTAAAGTACAAACATGGCTGTTCATTACTTGCATGCATTATTTGTTCTTTACCTTCCAGTATGAATGCTGTGGCAAATCGGGTACCATAGACTATTTGCAACTGGACAAGCGTATACCAAAAAACTGTTATCGTAACTTTTCTGGCGCCGAGAATGATCTGTTCACAGAGAGCTGTTTAAAGTTATTGCAGGAGATGGCACGTAAAAGTGATAGTACAGGGTTGGCAATTAAGTTGACCTTATTCGGGTTTGAGGTGAGTACTTCAGATGGGAATCTTAATATTAATTTTTTTTTTTTTTCAAGTGCAGTGAAACATCGATCTAACGAACCTTGATAAAACGAAAAACTCAATGCAGCCAAAGTTTTTTCGAGTTACCTGAAAAGATGTCGTGGCTACGAAATTTTTAATACAAAAATGCTTCATAAATATGACGAAGTTTTGAGCATAAAAACATTCGGAAAAATTGACGGTTTAAGTCTCGTCAGTAAAAGCCTCTATACAACGAAGCGTCGACTCAAAAAGCCTGAATATGTTGAGGGTTAGAGTCCCATTATAAAAAACTAAGCTATACCTACATATAACGAAATTTTAACAAAGTGTTGAACTTTTCTTTGATATTCTTTAAATATAACGAAGCATTTGTCCAACACGTCCAATATCGTTATATCGAGCTGTCACTGTACAGAGAGAGACTGTTGTCAGAAATTATTGATATAATATGAACTTATACCGAATTTCCACTAGACATTGAAATGAAAAAAATTCGTGCTATTTCACTTTGTTTTTTAACTTTTGGTATTCAATCTCCAGTGGAAATCCGGTTTGAGGTATTTTTGGTGAAGCTTTTTTTATACAAAAGTCCTTTCCTTTTCTCAGATACTTGGCTTATTCTTCTCCGGACTATTGGGCATTACTATACGCAACAAGCGAAGAAGAGACCAATTTATCGATCACTAGAAGTGTTAAAAAGTGCAAAAGCCTTTAGATATACATACATAAGTAAGTTTAAACAATGTTGCCTGAATAAACATTAGAAAATTATGCATGTAAGTTTAGGTGCTAAGTTACATTTATCGATAAGTATGTATTTTGTGCAACGCCTGTTATAATTATTTATTTTATATAAATTTACAACAAATTAAATGCAAGTCAATGTACAATGTTTTATCAAATAAGAAAACTTAAAACATACAAAAATAAATATAAATATATGTATGCATGTAGATCTCAACACGACAAGCGAAGTTGCTTTTATTCGAAGAAGTGTGGATAAGTAAGTATGATAAATATGCGGCGTATATATAAAAAGAAGAAACTTTCAAAGGAATTCAATGCCCTCCCCTTTGATATCATATCCTTAGAAAAGCCACACTAGTATTTAAATTATTTTATTTCATTTATTACCATCGGTTACAAAATTAAAATTTTATAACTAAACAAGGGTGCGCTAGCTAGCAGTGCTTTCGGCCTCATTATATTTAAATTAGAAATAGTTTTTAGAAAATCAGTAAAACTAAGTCAGCCGTCAGCACAAAACCGTTTAAGCTTAAAAAATTTGCATACAAATATTTAAAAAAAATTAAAAAAAATTTTGAACGGAATCGTAATGATAAGATTTTTGATGATGTTTTTAACTTTTTTCAAAGATTGGTATAGGAAAAACTTGAATAACTGAGCCTAAACTCTTCTGATTTAGACTTAAGAGGTGTCGGTGTCTCACCCTTTTTATTTTTTTGGTAATAAACTCATTCAAAGGATGAAAGAGAAAGGTAGGATGAACGAACGTCATTCAAAGTTGAATTAAGTTGTGTTGGTATTTGAAAAAAAAAATAACTGCGACACGAATGATATTTTTTTGGACAGAAATAAAAACAGTGTGAAAATACCTTTCTACCGAGATCCCATATGTCTAAATCAGAATAGTTTTGGCCCATTTATTTAAGTTTTTCGTAAATCAATCTTTGAAAAAAGTAAAAAAAACAGCATCAAAAATTTCATTCTTACGATTCCGTTGAAAAGATTTTAAAATATTTTTATGCAGATTTTTTAAGCTTAATCTCTTTTGTCATCTGAGGGGACTTTTTTCAAAAAGTTTTTTACAAAACTATTTTTATTCATAAAAAACTCCATTTTTGGAGGTATTTTCAAATCGGTCCAGCTCACTTAAATCTTAATATTTTTCCCAAATATTTTGGTGAACGTCTTAGAATATAATAATTTTTGTAATCCCGCCGGAAAAACTGCAACTTTTTTTGGTGATGCAGTCTAATGTACATACGTTAGGATGCCTAAAATTACCTCCAAAAAAAAATTTTTTTCAAACAAATTTTATTTATAAAGTACATATACATACGAGAGCGCAAAACACGTATTTTCCATAAGGTCGTTGACTTGATGGACGGTTCATCTAACTGTCGTTTAAGAAGTTTGTTGTTGAAATTACGATTTGTATGCATTGAAGCTCGGAGCTTAGAGTTTCGGGGGGACCAAATATCAGAATAGTGGCCAAAATGTTATGTATGATGATTAAGGCGGTTTTAAAAATGCATTTACAAGACGAAGGTATGTATCTCCAAAACCAGTCGCGATACCCTATAACATCACACTATTTCGTCCAAATTTGTAAATATTTACGCGTTTAATTTGTATAAGTGAGTCAATCGGTGTAATCTGTTATGTTATGCGAATTCTATACATACATGACAGAAGGCTTAACAAGTGTCAACATTTAAAAATAGAATAAGATTTTTGAAAATAAACTAAATTAAAAATATGCGTATGTTTTTGAAAACCAAATTTACATATTTCAAAAAATAAAATCATTGTGACTAAATTCGCTTACAAAGACCACAACAAAAGAATATCATAAATAATAACAAATCGCAAGAAAGAAAATGCAAAAATAAAATTAAAATTTTAAAATACTAAATGCGAGTAAAATTCAAATGCTAAATACATACATACATACATATATACGCACAATTGTCTTGCTGTCTGTATTTTTGCTTGCATTTAGCGTTCTAGTATGTATGTACTTGCGACCGCGAAAATTGGGCGGCTTATTTCATTTCCAAAGTAAATAAAACTTATACAGCTCTCACAGCTGGCTATTTTTGTTGGATAATAATTATCTAAGCCATGTACGAGTGACTCGTCAGCGAGTCCGTAATGCAAATTTTGGAAAAACTAAGCCAAAAAAAAATTTTGATGTCCATGCATACATACATACATACATAGAAATTATTTATTTATGTACATACATACGTGCCATCAACGGCAGACTCATTGGGCACACCCAAAGACACTCAAAATCTCACAAATTGGCACGTTTCTAACATTGATGGCATTTTATTGCTTGGATTTTTCGAAAATGCGAGTGTTTTGGAAGATTTCAAGTAGCTTTCGCGTTGACAGTTCGTCGTTTGTCTTTAAAGGTGTCGCAAGTGGTGCGCGATTTTGAATATTATTTTTGTGTTTAAAAAGAAAGCAAAAAGTTTTGATTTTTCAATACAAAGTCAAATATTAAAAATTGTTGAATTAGTGGAAAAATATATGTAATAAGTACACATAAAGGAATACCTATAATAAACGGAACTTAAATATGCCTTTGACCATGGCTTTTAGCAGACCGTGTTTGCAATGGACTGTTATTGCATTCAATACGACGAGTTTGGTGGGTTTCTAAATGCAAATAAATACTAAAAAAAAACAAAATCGCTTTTATTTAATTTTATCTGAAAAATTAATTCAGTAGAAAACTTCGAAAGAAAAGAATTGAAGAAAAAGAAAAGTGTGTGAAAATTTTTCACAAAAAGTGTAAATGAACTGAAAAAAATCGAAAGAGGTTTATGATCCAAAGGACATTATACGAGTATTTCATGTGCAAAACAACGTTGACCGACTGTAATTAAATAAATAAAAAAAAATTAAAATTTGAATAAATCGATTATTTCCCTAAAATGTGACGTCACTAGGACCGAATAAAAGCGCGATAGTGTTTTGATGGCGAAAAAAGACGCTTAAAAAAACTTTGGCGAAGAAAGACGCGTAAACATAGATTTATACCTGGCCAAGGACTGTCTCTTCAACATCATTCCCCAAAAACTCTATTTAAACGCGTTTTTCTACGCCGTTAACTTTGTATATTAAGCGTCTTTTTTCGTGAAATTTTTTTAAAATTTTTTTCGCGGTCAACTTTTGAGATCGCACCTTTATTCGTGTCTAGTGACGATGAATACTTACACTCATCTAATGACATCATAGTTTAATTAGACTTCCCCTGGAATATCATTTGAGTCGTGTGAAAGGACAATATCTGTGGAATAAAAAGAAAGCAGTAAAGCTTCGCAAATAGCGTATATGGCAATTTCAGTGCTTGTGTTTGGTCTTTCTTCTTGGTATGACACCCGTTAAGAGGGCATAAACGACCTCAGAGATGCATACTTGTATTACAAAAGCTTAAGCTTTAAGCTAAAACTCTCGCCATGTGAAGCTATATATCATAACATCATAATAGAGATTAGTTTACGAGACTATGTAGTTATTAAATTCCTTTTTTTATTGCTTCGGTTTAAGATTTTGAAAATTCAAAATGATGGATAAATATTGGATCTACGTTTTATCACAGAAAAGTTAAAATCGAATGTACATACGTACATGGCGTATGAGTTACCTAGACGAGATGAGAATGTTACTCATACGCCATGTGTGTACGTACGTTCGATTTTAAATTTTCCATGACAATAGTAACCCACCATTTTGAATTTTTTAAATCTGATTTCTGATTCATAATCAGAGACCTCTAGAACCCCCCATTGCAAAGTTTTAAACGAATTAATTTTAACCCTAAAGGCATTAGCATCCGTCTTGACCTAATAACTGACAACTGTTTTAACAAACTGAATGACAAATTTATTTCAATTCTTCTACGTTTAATTTGATGTATTATAAATTTACGAGTCTTTTGACACGATTTTTTCACCAATACAGTTAAATTAAAAATACATTTCATTGCATTTCAAAGTTCAGATTACCCTATGAAGACGTCTTAACCGACTCCAATCGATACCAACATTTATATGTGGGTCATTCCAAGGAAAACGACATACATTTTAAACTGCTTTAATTATCTCTATTTCAGTAGTAACCTCTTTTTAAATGACTGTATTTCATTAATGATTAATCTATTAAAAATAAAAAAAAATAATAATAAAAATGAGCTATAATTTTTGTTAATGGGAACTTTTATTTCATGCAAAATTACTTCACACCAGTCCCAAAAATGTCGCACCAGTCACAAATTTAAATAATTTTTAAATTTTTCTATGAAGATTATATAAGCCACACACACACAAAACAAAACATTTTTCATGAAAATTAAGTGTTTTGGCCAAAATTCATCTCTTAAAGGAACAAAGGTAAAATATAGTTATTTTCAGTGTCCCACCAGTAACATTCAGTCACAAAAATATATGTTGTATATGTTCCGACGACTTAGCGCTATAATTCGCAAATGCTCACATTCTGGAGTAAAATATCCCACCAGTCACAATGGAATGGCCCATTTGATATCTTTAGTGGGTATTAAATGCAAAAAGTATTTTCAATTTCGTGAAGGGCTTCTTTGGGTATTAGACGAAAAAAAAAAATAATTTAAATTTTTTGAATCGCTATAGAGAAATCTGTCACCAATCGGTACCAAAATTTATATGTGATATCTGTGATCGTGGTTCTACCGATTGAGGGGGTGATATTGAAATAAAATCCTTCATTTGATTTGTAAGGGCCACCCTAATGTACATAAGTAAATAGTTACATATAAAAAGGAATTTCAATACTAATGAAAATGGGCTAATCATTCGTTTCTCGATTAAAAAAAAGAGCCCATCGCAACTATAGCAAATATTTTTCTCATTTTATTATCAATTCATTAGTTTAATAGTTTTGACAACTAATTACTCATTCAATAAATAAATATCGAAAAATTTAAACCACGAACAACCTTGCACAGTTTTCTACCGCCAAGTCTAAAAACAATGGCGAGCGACACGTTTGGAAGCTAATAAAATTTTGCGCATCACAGCAATCAAAAACAAGTCAAACAATTTCTTGAAAAAATGTAACAATGTGTGATAAATACTAGACGTTAGCAGAAAATCGTGATGGAACCAACAATTTTCTGCGACTAAAGCACACACAGATGTACATAATTATGTTCATTAGTGTGCATCACTCTCCATAAAAAAAAAAAAATTCTATCGGAATTATAAAAATTATTTAATTCAAGTGGACTTTAATTTTATCTTTAAAGAAGTAGAGTTTTGGAGGTATGTATGCCTTAATATTTTTTCGAAATATTTTGGCGGAAGTCTTACTATATATAATAAATGTTACAATTCTAGTGGAAAAGCCACGTTTTTTCGAGGGGCTTCCTAATGTTCATATGTATATGTGAAATATACAAAAATATGTGCATATGTAATTGTGTACATACATACATACTGATATATTTCCATTAATTTTTTCTTCAACTGGGCAACTTGCCATTGTCTAGCTAAAAACATATTTTTCATTTTGTACTCCACGCACAATAAATGATGTGAAAAACATGAAAGAGCACTTTGGGACATACAAAAAAAAAAAAAACAAATGTGCTTATGATAAACGTAAAAGAGGGGCGTGATCCATGCATGAAGCTACATACATACATACACACATATGCCTAATTTACAATACCAACAAGAAGGCACTACATTCCATCATAAATATGAGTGTATCGTCAAGGATTAGATCATACCTGGTACTTATTTTTATGTATGTACATATAAGTAAATATTTCTAAATTTTTGACATAACTCAAAAATATTTATAAACAAAAATAATTAAATATAATGGAAATATTCCCTGGAATAAGCCGAATAAATTTTGATGATCCCAAAACTTATGATGAATTTGCAAAATTTGTACGACTGTACGATCAAAATAAAGGGAATAAGTATTTCAATGAATCTTGGTGGAGAAAGCCTAAAAACGGCAACAGTGTTTAACTTTTAACTTGTTACCTCTTTTTATATTTATGTAAATTTTTTTAAATATCTGTTTGAAGCACAGGGCACAAATCAGTAAGGTTTCCACAAAAAAATTCTGCCTGAACCTTTGAATTTGACATCTTGAATAACGGTGCACCTTGCAGATCAAATTAACCATAAAAACAAAAGAAGATTTTTGACTCAGTAGCGCCCTAATCATAGTGCAGCCCACGATCTAAGCGTTCTACAGTGGATTTAACTTAGGACTGTAAATCTAAGTAGGTCCATGACCGGTAGGCCGAGTATTCTATTTAGAGTAGTCGTTGGAATTGGTTATTAGCGCTCCCCTGATGCACAGTGCCACGATACGCTGAACTTTCTCTACCATCACAGTAAAGTATCACAATGAAGCATATCGTAAAGTACAAAATCACGTATCAACCAAATGCAAAACCGCGTATGTGAGGTTGAATAAATTAAAAAAGAAGTGTAAAAGAACTCGTATTTTAGAACGGTCCTCTTTTTTTATAAAGCAATCGCATTTCTGGCTGGTATATTTCAGGATGAATGGGTAAGGCTTGAGCCAATGTTTGGTTTTGTTCTTTAAACGACGATATGTAGTGTAACATCAATGCAAAAATCGTTGGAGCATGTGGTCCATTTGAGCCATGTTGATGAAGTACTTACGAAATGCTCCTCTATAATGCAGCAGCGGATTAACTCGCGTCTCTACACCAGCTTATTGCTTGTGTTTTAACGATCGTAATCACTACACGATGTTTATTGGGCTGTGTTGGCAAGAGATACGTACTCTATGGAGTAACCCCTCGGAGTAGTTGTGTGCTAATCTGATGTAATTCAGAGCTAGAGTATATGGTCTTGCCCTAGGACATCGCAATGTTAATTGGACCACATTTTATATACATATGCATTTCGGTTAATTTTGGAGTACTTCTTCGCCCTTAGGGAGTGTTCTTTACATGCGTGTATGGACTCGTCGCGAATTTTGCAGGAGTGTTACAGGCTTTTCTTACATTTCCATCGACATTGTGCTTCCAGAGCAATATAATAGTACCATACAAAACTACTCTCAGCTACCTTTTGTGGTTTTTTAAGGTAAATTAGATGTTACTTTCCATATATGTAGCTTCAATCGTTTCTCGCAACGGCACCTCGATTTGAACATAAATAGTGGAGCTTAAGATTTGTTAAACTTAAAAAAATTTTTTGGACTTTTGCATTCGAAAACTTCCAGCATTTAACTTCTTTCTTATACACACACAATTATAGCATTATTGAAGTCGTTTCATTCTACCCTTTTAGATTGTTGGCATCTTATCTGTGGTGGCCAGCGTTTATGAATTGGAAAAGTTTGCAGAAGGCTCGGCAGAGCATATGGAAAAGATTGTGCAATTGGCATCGGCTGGCCTACTGATACTCTCCGCATTCGTGGGTTGCTTGGGTGCCGTAAATGGTTCTGTTAGAATACTCTGCTGTGTAAGCACTGAAGAAAATGTATTTTTTATTGCACTAAATATTAATATTTTTTTAACTTACGCCTCACTAAATAGTTCGTCACCATGCTGATAGCAATGATAGCATCGCATATATGGAAATTGTGGCGCTACAGTGAACTCAAACAAATGACGGCCGCAGAGAAAAGCTTAACAGCAGCCTGGCTGACAGAGCTTGTGACACCAGGCGCTATGAATGAAATACAAGAATCGGTAAGAGCACTTCAAAGATACGCTAAATTTTATTGAAATACTATTTATAGGTATGTATGTGGATCGTACACATAGACACTAAATACGCTTCTATACTTTTAGTATGAATGCTGTGGAGTTCAAAGCAGTTTGGATTATTTAAAACTAAATGTAAAAATTCCACTCACCTGCTATCGCTCTGAGAATGGTTTGCGCAGCATTTTTGCCTATAATGAAGGTTGTTTAGTGGCACTAAAGCGCGCCTATTTGACTGTGTATCGCTATGAGCGGTTGGCGCATGCGCTACTTGTGTGCTTTGAGGTGAGTAGTCCTTTTTCTTATAAATTTACATATCGCACACCTAGATCTAAGTGCGATCAACTAAAAAAAAAAAATAAAAAGTTTGGGCGATTTTTTTTTGCATAAATCAATTCAGAGCACTTACATCCAATTAATGAAAATATTTTTTTTTTATGATTATATAATTAACTAAAAAACTAGAGTTATGCCTGTTTTTGTATTAATTACGTTGAATCTGTACGATCCACAAGCAGTTAAATGTCCCTCTTTGAATTTTGAGTTAGCTCACTTTAACTAGATCAGTGATGCGCAGAGAGAGCTTTTACTCTATACGCGTCTATACAAAATGTATGGAAAGCTTAAAAGAGCTTTGCCCGCGGGCAAGGCGATGCCCATCAGTGCTTTAGTAGATCAGTGATGGGCAGGGAGAGCTTTTACTCTGCACACGCTTATATGTATAGAAAGCTTAAAATAGCTTTGCCCGCGGGCAAGGCAGTGCCTATCAGTGCTTTAGATCTAGGTGTGCGATATGTTCAATTATATGTATATTTGTAGTAAATTTTAATTGATATTCACATTTATTTTTCAGGGCATAGGCATATTGTTAGCAATGCTGTTGATCTGCAAATTACTGACCAAATCGCGTAGATATAGTTATTAGTATTGCTAAGTTTGCATTTAAGATATTTAAATATATATGTTTTGTTAGGTAAGGGTAAATAAAAAAAAAATATTTTCTACTATTTATCGATTCTTGCACAGCATTAGGGTTGAGCTGAAATAGAACAAACACTAGCACCAGAATTTATAAAAAGTAAATAAGACTTTAGCTGCTTTATAAATCAAGAGTTGGCATGAAAATGTCGCTTTATAAAACTCTTTAAACCTATTTTATTTTTATGAATAAGACCATTAGTCTTTAATTGTAATTGAATTTTGTTTGCGCTTAGTAGGAGAAGATGTTCACATACTTACTTAGGGCCAGTTGTTCAATGTCTGGTTATCACTACCAATACACTATCGACGATTTCGACATCATGCATGTAACATGTGATCGATAAAGCAGTCGTCTTTCTTAACCAGAGCTTCTACCTCCGATTTGTGCTAATCAGATATTGAACAACTGGCCCTTAAGCGTATTGCAGATCAAAGGAGCTTTGTCCATATGAACTCAAAGGGGGATGATTATATATTTAACCCCTGCCATGGCGTAGGACTCGTTAATTAAGTGGTTGGGGTGTTCAAAATCTATTTCTTTTCTTTTTAAAATTTTGCATTCCATATTTTATTTTCCAAAATATTTTGGGTTTTCTAGGAATTTAAATATGTTTTTGGACTTTCCTGGATTTTTTTTTAACTTTTGGGGATTCGAAATCTTATTTTTTGGTACTTTAAAGTACTTACTATGGACTTTTCTGGATTCTTCTGGAATGTCTCGGAACTTTGGGTTCGGGGATTTGGGGGTTTTCCCAAAATTTTTAGGTATGTTTCGTTTTTTATTTTTCGATCGCCAAAAAAACTGTCCTGTTTTTGATGACCCTATATTGGGTCCATATTTTCAAATTTGCGGTATTTTTTGGGACTTTTCGGGTTAATTCGTGTGTTATTTTGCGTGATTTTTCAGAATATTTTCGAAAACGTTCGGGCACTTTAGTAGTTTTCTTAAGAATTTTCGGTGAAGTTTTTCGGTATTTCTGGAAATACTTAATTGGTGCTATATTTTCTGAAAAATTTCGGAATGTTTCCGGGTATTTAGGGATTTTTCAGGATTTTTTTTTTTAGATTCCTCGTGTTTTATTTTCCCAGAACTTTTGGGATTTTTTTGTTGGGAATTTTGTTCCGAATTTTTTTCGGCACACTTCGCTTTTTTTCGATTCACCAAAAGCTGTCCCGTTTTCAATGACCAAAAAATTATGGCCATATTTTAAACTTTTTTGGCGCTTTTGGAATTTTTCGGGACTTTACTGGCTTTTTGGAGACTTTTTAGGATATCTCGAGTTTTATTTTTCGCACTATTTTGCCATTACTTCGGGGTCTTCCGGGATATTGTACACATTTTTTGGGACTTTTCTGAATATTTTTTGGGACTTTTGGGGATACTTAGTGTTTTATTTCTCGCCCTCACTATTGGGATTTTTTCGAAACTTTTCGGGAACGTTCAACTGTGAACATATATCTCAATCTTAGCCTTAAAATTCTTAAAAAATAAAATGTAAAAATCACCCGTTATTTTCTGCACAAAAAGAGCAAACGGTAGAATTTGCTCAAATTTTTATTAATATAATCGGTATTTCTTTTTTAAAATACTAAAAGTAAAAAGTTAACGGCATAACGTTTGGTCTCTGAAATGTGCAGTACGTGAGCTTCTGAAACTACCCTGCAGGAAATGGAGCTAGTTTGCAGCTAAATTTTAAATACTGGTTTTTTCTCTGCATCAGGTGTCAACGTTCGTGGGTAAGCGCGTCTGCGTGATTTTACAACTCACCTAAAGTTCATTTTTTCATAGCTAATTGAAAGTGAGGCATTTCCCGAAAACTTTTATCAATTGATAGTTTTTTCTGCGGGGTATGGATGTATGTATGCATGCGTATAATGTATATAGTAGTGGTTAAGTGGTTTGAAAAATATCAAATAAACGTTATATGTATCTCAGGGCTTTTATAACTTAATGACGCGTAGCTAATGACACAATATACAGCATTAGTGCATACATACATATTTATGTACATAAAAATAACAGTGTACGCACAAATTTGGCATCAGAACTCACTTTCAAACTCAATGCTGTTGCATTCCTTTCCATCGAAATTTGTGAATGCCAAAATTTTGTAATGAATTTTTGTAAACCGGTGCTTTTGTTGTTCTTAATGTTTGCAGCGATTGAAGGCAGATTCGAAGATTTTGTAATCAAAAACCAAGTAAGTAGGGGGGTGAGCTCAGTCCATTCATATGTAAGTACTCACATAAATTAATATTTGTCTACTTCTAAGAATGATTTAAAACGTTTTGGCGACTACAATGACATAAATGATGAAGACTATGAAATTGATGAAGATTCCGTGATCAATTTGGAACTACTACGCCAATTGTACAAGACTGAACCGGGTATTATGGACTTGCTTAGAGACGGTTCGCTAGAAGAAATACCCGCAGATTTTATGCAGAAATTACAGCAATACTATGCACAGGTGGAGCCTTGGAATTGCGAAAATGATGAAAATTCTCATGGTATGAATGTTTATGATATTTTGTGAGACTCAATAAATTGTGTATGAAAATGCAGCAGCAATCAGGAATTTTTCATTTGGAACAGGCGGGCGGAAGAAATTAGCAATTGAGTAAGTAATGAAGTGTCATTCCAACTTGAATGAAAATGCAAATATGTAGTAGAGTTGTCTTAATGAATGGAATATGCTTTTTTAAGCGCAACAAATCGCGCCAGGTGGTGAGCTAGTTTCTTTTATACTCCAATCGAAAAGAAGTAGTCAAAGCTTAACAAAGCTATTTGGGTCAATGGGATTCTTTATTTTTCATTTCGAGCGCAGAGTTGTGAGTAATTCGAAATTTGTGTGTACTTTTATAATTTTCATATATTTACTTATCATGATTTTTGGCATTTAGCTGTAAAGTAAAAATGTAAATAAAACGGTAATCGATTTTCAACTATTCGACCCACATAAATTATGTGAATATTAGAGAGGGTATTAAGCTAAAATCAAAACAGATAAAAAAAATATAACGACATAAGTCATCAACACAAAAGGCACTAATTGACATTCTTTGTGAAAGAATTTTATTTCCGTAAGTTTGCTCTCAGATATATTCCTCTAACAAAATTCAAAGCCTTATTATTTAAATTGATTGACAGCTATAGAAAAGTCGGAAAACCATTTAATGCAGCTGGTAATTTAAAAAGTTGTTTACAGCTTTTGTTAAATTTCAAATTCGTCAGTTAGTATTATTATCATGATCCAAAAAATGCAAAAATTGAGTTAAGCATGCAGAAATTACCGCTACCTCTTCTTCTATGTTGTGTAAAAATTTCACAGCTGTATCGATTACCAGTAGCTCACTAGAACAAAATATGTATTCATTTCAAAACTTCAAAGCCGTTTTTGGCGAGTTTTGCTTTTTTGAGTTATGACACTATTGAAGTAAATGAGCGATATATATGAACAGCTAATTGATTTAGTGTTTATGTAAACCTGAAAGTCCGAAAAAGAAAATATACGAAAATTGCACATGCAATTTTTCCCGAACCGATTTTCGATTTAATATTTTCCTTCATCTCCAATATAACGGTTGTGATCTCAATAATAAAAGACACGATTTAAACGTTAAAAATGGATTTTTGTTTTTCTGATCACATTTAACAGTTATTTTATGATTTTTATTTTTTCAAAAAATGTTTAATTGTTTTTTAATGAAATTTTTTTCCGTTTAACCATTACTCGTATTTTAAGCATTAATTTTTAGATAATGCAGGTTTTAAATCGGCCATAAAAATTCAGTCTCCATTAAAACGGTTAAAAGTGAACGAACCAAATTAAAATCCAAATTAAAGATAATTTTTTTTTTTTATCGAGAAAAATAAGGATTAAATTTGACCGAAAAAATTAAAATCCGAATATGACGATTATTCCTGATCGAAGAAAAATGACATTAAAAAAATTACGATTTTAAAGAAAAATATTGATATTTAACGGTTATTTTTGGACCCTCCAGTTCATCGATGCCTCCCAGTCATTACTAAGGGAAATATTCAGTCAGTTTCTGATGGTGGCTTCCATAGTCGAAAATGGTAGTCCTAAATGCTTAATACCTATGAACTCCGCACGTGACTTATTGACCCCTCACTCTCTCTGCTGCCTTAATCCTAATTACCCGCTTATCGTGCATTGAACAAATCCAAATTACCAACACAAAATCTAAACCATGCCTTAGAGCCGAGTTGCACCCGAAAAGGTCGCCAACAAAAGCTCAGCACCTTCTTTGCGTACAATAAGCAGAATGCTAGCTGGAGCGGGCGATTTGAAGCCGTTAAAAGATTTAAAATCGCGTCTTACGACATCTTCATACGCCACGGTCCTGGCAAAAAACCATTGGTATTTTGAAACTGTGCTTCTTACATTCTACCCATCTTCTAGGGAGCATGCGAAATCTGGGCTCGAATCGTAACATCCGTTCACGGATCGAAAACGATACGAAAGAAAATTACGTGATACGTCAGGCAGTGTAAGCTGAATGGGACAAAGAGTACGTTCACGTAAGTCATAATCCGAAAAATGTTTTTTACGTGACGAGTGGTACGCTATCGTATGTGACGATTCGAGCCCTGCTCTCAAGAGATTACGTGTCTTTTGAAGCGAATGAAGAACTGGCATAACTTTTGCGCTGCTCGACCAGGCCATGAGCCATCGTCCGGAACAAATGCAATAGTAGTTGGTAGAAGCAATATCAGACGAGTTTCAAAAATTTGGTTTGTTCCCGCTTTGTATAGAAACAAAAAAAATCAATTAGTTACGCTTCTATTTGAACTTTATTTTTTTCCACTCTATTGACTGCCCATTAAATCATCGATAATATCACCCAGTGGCGCTGAAATTAAATCCAATGGATTCTCCTCGCAATCAGCCGCATAGTGTTCACAAAAGTCATGAGTTCCATCTAATTCGGCTTGATAGTAAGAAAGTGGAAGATTTTCATTTGCAGATGTGCTAGGACTGAAAATTTTAAGTGGAAATGGTTATAACAGTACTTTGTTTTTTTTTTAATCAAAAATTACTTACGAAAAAAATATATGAACTAATGTGCCTAGAACGCCGTTGACCTCACCAAGGCCTGAGGAATTCGTTTCACAGATTAAACGTAGTAGGCAAGGCTCTCCGCTGTAGCCACTTCTGTAAAATTGGAAATGTTTAATTAAGATTATTAAATTCTATAAAGTCATTGTTTTTCTTTAAGTGAATCATACAATTTCGGTTAAGTGGGTGTTATAAAATCCTAGGGCGTGAGAGCTTACAAATATCGACTTAACTTTTTCACATGCATTTTCGGGCCACCCTAATATTCATACAAAGCGTACAACAGAAGACATAAATCACAAACACCCTTAATAAACTTATCCGTTGTGTCGAATCTAATACGGCTCATTTGATACGACGCGCAACAGTGGCTTACAATTATTAGTGACTATTTCGTGCGTTAATAATTATTAACTCCTTGGTACTTTAGTATTTAGCACCTTTTTAGTATTTGGCAGCTCCGCAATACTTCAAAATCTATGACAGAAAATCTTTTCTGCGTCACAGGGATCCTTTTGACTGACAAAACGTACAGAACATGACGGGACGGCATCATAATGAAAACGTTGCCGCAAACAAAACGGCTCAATTTCATTGGTAAAAAATCAGCTGGTTTGAATTCGTTCCATACATTTTTGTTGTTGTTGTTGTTGTTTTGCCGCATAAGCGCGCGTTTTATATACAGTATGTTATAAATTAATAAACTTTTTAAAGTTTCATAAATTGCACCTTATTTACATAAAATTAAAAAAAGAACAGTTTTAACCGGCTTCAAAAAAGGCGGAGGTTACCAATTCGTCGGAATACGTTTTTTTTTTTAATATATGGTACCGCATAACTTTGGACCACGTGAATCGATTTCGATAATTCTGGTTTTTTATCGGAAAGATGGTACCTCAAGGGTCGTCCCGTAACCTGGTTTAGATTCGATTATTGGATCATGAAAAAACTAACGCTATTCCTTAATTTGTATATGAGACTTGAAGTCGGTTGTGTTTTTGCTTAGAAAGTAATTGTTTAATAAAAAGTTCTATTAACACAAGATGCGCTCAACTTTCAAAAGTAAAAATGGTAAATAAGAGTTTTAATGTTAATTTTTCTCGATTTCTGGTTTTTGTAGTGGACTTCTGACAATCGCTATGCTAAATTTTCGTCGCCAAAATTCTCTAAATGAAAAGCAGTGGGCCTAAAAGTATACTGAATGGAAAAGTAATAACTGTAATGTGTAATCAGGCAAATGTGGCAGTATGAGGGGCATGCAACCAGATGTTGCGTATTGTTAGGCGTACCTGCTTTGGAGATTTATGGCAATCAAAATTGGCGATAGCAAATGCTGGAATCCTGCTGCTGGTTTTCGATGGAGATGATTATTTCGAATACCGAAAAAATTAACTGAACTTGTATTTTTATTATGTAGCTCATTTTGGTGGAACGAATTCGAAGTTGGCAAGTTGGAAGTTGGTGGTTGAACCACAAAACCCACCCCTTGTGTGCGCTAATGGTTGCGGCAACGCATGCGTTGGCAATGTGGCGTGTTCTATTCAAAATCACAGAGTTAAAAGGCATCTCTGTGACGTAGAGAAGGTCAGCGTTATACAAGGTCGGGATTAATATCACTTAAAGCCTGATTATGGCCACTTAACTTAACTTAACGGAACGTAGAACTTTGAGAATGAAAATGAAACAGATTTAACCCATTTAACAGAATTTTTAAGAGTAAGATTTTTACATCAGAATCTCATTTTTGTGAAAGATAGATAAGAATAAGAATGCTTTTAATCTTCTTACCTTTCAAATTTATCTCTGAGTATATGGTAGAAGTGGGTCCGTGTTAGCAGCGAATTTACTGCACTTTTTCGTCTACGCCGACGCTGTGATTCTTCTTTACCATTGCTGGTTGCATTCACAGGTGGCATTGTTGTTGTTTTAGTGCAGTTACTACAACTATCATCTGACTGCGACATTTGGCGCGCAGCCTCAGATTGACTGAAAATGTCCTCATCCTCAATACCAGTCTAAGAAAACAAAAAATTTAATAGATGAAATTTCAAAACTTCAAAAAAAAAAATGCGTTTAATATATTTTTCCAGCTGTGTCACTAACCGCAATTGGTGGTATAGTGTAAGTGTAAGGTAAATTGTAGTTCGCTTCGAAATTGTATGAGATGAAAACATTCCGATGCGGCAACTCCAATGGCACTGCAATGGCGGCGAAAATCTGCGTTTAATAAAAATTTTTATTTTTTTATTAGAGTTCAAGCGCTTGAAGAACACTTACACCATAAGCTGAATTGGTGGGGAAAAATGCTGTGCCAACGCACAAGTTACAACAACATAACAAACTTATTATTCCTAAGCACAAAGTTGTAGTAATTCGCTGGAATAAAGCCATTTAAAAAATCTATGAACACTCTTTTTTGTTTACACGTTTCTCCAAAGCGCCTCGGCATGTATTCTCTGATAAATCAAACCATCAACTAATTTATTGTTTTTCATACTTCAACCGGAGAGCAATAAGCCACGCTTGTATGCGAGTCGAAAAGTCGAAAGTTGCTACTAATTAGAAATGTCAACAAACTCAATGCACAGGCAGCAACAATGTATCGTATCGGCGGTGTTTTGGAAAAACCTCGTAGCTCGAAAATCACTACTACTACCTCGTACCTCGTAAAATTAATTAAAATTGCGCCTTAAAATAATAAAATTCATTATATTTTATTCTAAATAAACTAAAAAGTTCTTTAAACTTAAATTTGGTTCAAAAATTTACTTAAAATTATTTTTGTTATTAATAGCGAGTTTCCTTTTGTTTGAGTTATGATGTTTTGACAAAAGTGCCGCCGATATGTAGCGACTGTTCTCAATACTTTGGCTAAGTGGTTCGCAGCAGTGTTTGATGGAGATACATATGATTCTTGGAAACTGGTTTCAACCTGCCCAACGCAAACCAGTTACATATATCACCGTGCCACAAAAACCAAAAAATTTCGAAATACACGAAGCGATCAATATACTCGCGAAACTATACGCCAAATATAGTAAAACTGCGTTTTTAGTTTGTCTCTCTGGCGTCAGGATTTTTTAAAAGGACTTTGCAGTTATGATGTAGTAGATATGATTAATTCCAAAGGACGAATAGGTATCGAAAATGTCCTTTTAATTAACTATATTTTTGTAAGCTTATACGGTTAGAAAGACGAAATTCTGGAATGTGGTCGAGTGTATATTAGTCCTTAAGTATAATTTTTCAAAAATATTTATAAATGTATTTCAAATTTTCAAATTTTAAAGGGAAGTAATCATATTTCACGTCATACGTCAGAGTGGCCCATGGTTGCCTGTAAAATTGACTGTCCACGGTGTATTTTCCCCATTTTTGTTAAATTTAGTTATGATTGCCATGAATGTTGATTACCAGCATTACTTTGCATTGAATTCATAATTACCCCTTTTTATCCATATAAAAATTAATGTGGTTATGTGTTTTTGATATGGGCGATTCCAGCGAAAAGTCTACCGCGTAAAAAAAATTAAAAGTTCGGCACCCTGAAATTGTGCATACGAAATAATGTATACGAAAAAACCCGAAATAATGCATAAAGGCACAGTTTCGGCTCAAAACCGAATGCATATGAGAAAATAGCGAAATTATGCATACATGCACAGTTTCGATTCAAACCCGAATTAATGCATATATGCACAGTTTCGGTCGAAAATCGAAATAATGCATATGGCAAAAAATAATGAATATATGCACGGTTTAGGTTGCAACCAGGGTTGCCACTTTGGTAAATTATTACCAAAATTGGTAGAAAAAATTCGGGTCGGTAAAAAGGTAAATTATTTCTCATTTTGGTAGATTTTTTTATATTATTCGTCCTCGCTTTATTTTTCGTAATTATCTTTTTATTTTAAATTTCTTTCTAAAAGTATAGTATGTATACTTAATTGCATTCATTTTCAAACGCATTAATGTTCACTTCGTCGTTAAAATTCGAACATATCGTGCCTAAATATTTTAAATGATTCTTTAAATAAAATTAAAAAATGAACAGGCACGTAATTACACACTTTGATTGTTCGAAAAAAATTCAAAGAAACAACGCCAGTTTTTAAAAATCACAATTGTTAAACGAAAAAAAAAAAACATAAAAGTACGGTGGCAAAAAGGATTTTAAATCAACGGGCATTTTTAGGTGCACATTGTTGGTTAAACTGAAACTCAATGGGTTAAAAAGCCGTAGACCCAAAAATGTTCTAAAAATTCAGAGAAAAAAGTTCGAATTTTTGGCGCAAATTTGTTGAATTCTAAATGTGGTACATATTAGTTCTGATCCAATACTTTTCGTGTAAAATCCTGTAATAATGTCAAACAGCAAAATTACTCTCTGAAGTGAGAGTAAAAAGTGAGTAACACCAAAAATTACGGGAACAAAATAAGCATTTTTCCTGTAAAAACGTCAACCAGTGATCGCTTGACACTTTTCATTACTTTACCAAAAGAAAAAATTCGGGTACAATCTTGCAACTTCATTCTCTACACGCCCCTCCAAAAATCGTTCTCATTTGCAGGATTTTAGAGGAGTTTGGACTACGGGATAATTTTTCCTGTAACTTCTTGCAAGTTCGTGTAAAAACGGAGTACTGGATTAGAGCCATTGTGATTTTTAGCTGAAAAACATTTTGAATATTAAAAAAATACCAATCAGCTTTTTGAGCCACTGTATTTGTTTATAACAACTCCGTTGTGGCCTTTAGTATCATCATTTTCGGTTTTAGTTGAATTAAACCGAAAATAAATGGCTAAATAAAAAGTTACTTAATACAAAACTTTTATCAAATAACTAAAAAAAACGAACAAATCTAGAGTTTTTATTAAAACAACTCAAAAATTTATTGGTAGATATTTTTCAGATTTGGTAGTTTGTTTTTTCAAACGGATGGTAAGTATTTATTTTCGTCAGTGGCAACCCTGGTTGCAACTCGAACTTACGCATATTTATTAAAAGAACCAAATTATGTATATATGTACATACATGCATATACTTGGAAAATTAACCTTGAACATTTCCAATATTACTACAAAAACTTTTATATAAATAGTCTTGCCCAATTCGCAGAGTTTTGAAATTTTGTAATCGAAGTCAAAATCCTCTTCAGTTTTTTTGTAACGTCACGCCAGCTCGTAAGTTTACTAATATCTTTAAATCGCTACTACCAACAGTTGTAATTTTTTACCGAATAAAGGGCCATTTAATTGCTATGCAAATCTAGAAAAACCTTTTTAAAATTTTGTCTTTTCAATTCTTTTTTTAACATTTTGTCATACGAGCGTCATGTATGTAACTCCAGTTTGGAAATACAAATATCCATTCGCAAATTCGTATATACGTATAAAATCCGTATATCCGGTTCACATTCGTTCATTTTGTTGTCGGAAAATTCGAATTGTCGGATGTTCAGAGAATCCGGATAGAACTCTCAGCCCTAATATTTATTTGAAGAATATGTACATTAGTTTTCTACCTTAGTTCTCTTCGGTTTACTATTCGCAAGTTCAGAATAATTAAGATCATTAGTTAGTAACATACTTCACTTTAAATAAAATGATAGATATGATTTTTTAGCCGTGGATTCGTTAAAAACGATGCTAACGTCATCTGTGGATCAACGGCACAGTTCTTGTTCTTTTACATATATACATATTTATATATTTCAGACCGTGCTGCCACCTTACATTTTTGATTTTTATGTTTTGAGAAACTAGTAAGCCAAGTCGCGAACTACGGCGACTTCTAACATTAATTGCCTAAATGTATGCTACAGGCATTTAAAAAGGTACATCACAACCCAATAAACATTTTTGTTAAATCTAAATTTGAGAATCAGTCCCAATTGAGAAATGTTGAATTCTTAACTTTTTCGCAAACGTGAGTGGAGCGGAACGAAATGAATTCCAGTTACTCTCTTTGAAATATTTGTATAGTGTTGCCAATGATACATGTAAAAAAAACACAGTTTTTTATAGGAAAGGAATTTTTATTTATGCAGTTTAACAGTTTTTTTAATAGCTTATTTATTCAGTTAGTTTAGCAAAGAAAAATACGGCTGATGTAAAAAATTAGTTGCATAGTTTGTTTTAAAATTAGACAAATTGCGAATAACAGAGCCATTTTGCGACTGATGTAGCAGACTACCGATGGACTTGGACATCTGTGGCATGTGGACACAGATGGAACGGAACGGAATGCTAACAATTTTTTTCTAAAATGTTTCTCAAACCGTTCCTGAATTGATAAACAATGTTAGAGAAAAATTTTCAAACGTTTGGGAAAATCGTATTGCTCAATTGGATTTTCAGCATTGTTTATCATTTGAAACTAAACATTTTCTCAAATTTTTCTCACATTGTTTGTGTTGTATTTCAGTTAGCATTATTGTACTCCTCATGAGCCTTATACGTGACATAATGTTTTTAAGCCTGCTCCATTTGTAACGAAGTTAAGCCAAGCGGTTTCCAATACCTTTGAAGCAGCTTGGCTATCACAGCAGACTGTTTTAATGTCCGCACATAATCTTCGTGGCCAGAGTTATGCCTAGATATTTCACTACTAAATACATGCCATCTATAAACAGGTATAAAATAAGAGAAATTTGCTAAGCGTACGTATGTACGTATATAAATATATGCAACCAACCAGCTCTTCACTTTGAAGAGCTTAGCGGGTACTCTGTCCACAAAGCACCTTTTTATTTTATTGCCGTGTTAATCTCATCTTGATCTAGTGGATTTATGTAAACTTCGTGATTTGAAAGGCGTTGAAAAATATGGATTTTAATTGAGAGCACATTAAAATATTTAATTGGCCTTTTCCCTGTTTTTTTTATTGTTTCAACTTTATTTTTCTCCTCTATTTACTACTCATAAAATCATCGATAATATCACCCAATCGCGCTGAAATCAAATGCAACGGATTCTCTTCGCATTCAGCCGCATAGTGTTCACAAAAGCCATGAGCACCGTCCACTTCGGCTTGATAGTAGGAAAGTGGCAGATTTTCGTACTCAGATGTGCTTGGACTGAAAATGATAAATTAAAGTGCTTTTAGCAGCAGCTAAATTGGGTTGTTGAAACAAAGTTTACTCACGAAAAGAGTATATGAACTAATGTGCCCAGTATGCCGTTGACCTCACCTATACTTGAGAAGTTTGTCTCGCAAATTAAACTTAGTAGGCAGGGTTCTCCATTGTAGCCGCTTCTGAAAAATGGAAAATATTTAAGTAAATTAATATAATAGGAGTATTCACACAATTAATAACATTATAGGTATTGACCAAATTGAGCAAGTGGCCTAACAACGACTGTTTTGCCAGAGTGCCAGGCCACTTGCTCAATGTTATTCATTATGTATGTAAATCGTATGTTTAGCCACATCATAAATATACACTTTTTTTTTTATGTTAAAAGAAAACTATGTTTAGTGAAACAGCTTAATCTACAAGCCTATGCATTATGTATGTATGTATGTACAAACAAACACATTGAACAGAAGATTTAAGCGACAAACTCGCTATAGAAAGTTCTTCGTAGCGCAGGCGAACTCATTTTTAACCGACTTCAAAAAAAGGAGGAGGTTATGAATTCGCCAGAATATTTTTTTTTTTGTTTAACTTTGAAGCACGTTAACCGATTTCTATAACTATTTTTCTTTTCTTTTTAAGGAAAGGTTTGGTTAGAATTGAAGTCCGTTTTGTTTTTTGCTTAAAAATTTACTTGTTATTATTAACTCTTTTCCTTACTATGTACGTAGGTGCAGACTAGCATTTGGAGTTAGGAATAAAAAGCCCATAGAAGTGCTAGCCTAATTTAAAAGCCTTCGAAGGTATGATCAGGTATGGGGTGAATAGTCATGACCAATAGACGACACAAGAGGCCGCGGAGTACATATTTGGCACATAATAATGATAAAAGATTGTTTGTGAAGAAACAAAAATGATAAATAGGGCATTTCGACTTATACTAAGGCAAAGATAGTACTTACAATACATAGATTTGCTACGAGCTTGCAGTAGCGTCATTGAAAGCATTAGTCGTATTTGCGTGCGTTAATAATTAGAGTGTTTACAGTACATAAGTAAACTTGCTTATATGTACATACGTATGTACATATATTAAAAATACCAAAAACCTAATTGATCATAATGTGGGCCAATATTCATCGTCGAGATTCACAGAGAAAGTGTGAACTGAGAAATTTACACTAATCTTTTTTAAGCAACAATTTTTAAGCAAAAAACAAAACTGACTTCAATTCTAATATACTAATTTAAGATTGTCGTTAATTTCATGATACAATGATCGGATGTAAACCAAATTAGTATGGGACCACCTCTGAGGTACCACCTTTCCTTTAAAAAAAGCATTATAGAAATTGGTTTACGTGGTTCAAATTTATGCGGTAACATACATAGAAAAAATATTTCGACAAATTGATAACCTCCTCCTTATTTTAAGTCGGTTAAAAATACTTCCATTTCTAGCCTACTTACTTTTTGAATAGATCACCGAGTATATGGTAGACGCGTGTGCGCGTTAGCAAGGAATTTATTGTACTCTTTCCCCTATGCTGATGCTGTGATTCTGCGCTCCCATTGTCGGTGGCATTCACCTTTGGCTTTGTTGTTGTTTTTGTAACAGTAGTGGTTGTTGGCGCTTTTATAGTTGTTGTTGTGGTTGGATCCGTGCAGTTAGCACAACTAGCTACTGACTGTGACATTTGGCGCGCAGCCTCAGGCAGATTGAAAATGTTATCATCTTCAATACCAGTCTGAAAAGAGGTTTTACTCACGAAATTATATGTTTAAACAACCAACACATTGGGTACTACTAACCGCAATCGGTGGTATACCCCATGTATCGGGTAAATTATAGTTGGCTTCAAAATTATATGACAGAAAGACATTACGATGCGGCAATTCCAATGGCACTGCAATGGCGAAAATAAGCTATATTTATAAAAAAAAAGTTACTTGGTGAGCATTCAACAAACGCGAGTAATATACATATCTAATCATAAATAGCTTCTGATACTTACACCAAGTACGGTATTGGTGGGAAAAAATAGAGTGCCAACACACAAGTTACAACAATATAACAAACTTAATATTATTAAGCACAAAGCTGTAATTCGCTGGAATAAAGCCATTTCAAAAATCTATAACTCGTTTTTTCGTTTTTTTTTTTTTTTAAATAACTAAAGAGCGCTTTCGCGTCTATTCACTTATAAATCAAAACTTCAACTAAATCTATCCTTCGACACACTGTTTGGACCGCTATACGTACGGAATTACTGCTTGAGAATAAATACTTATATTTACTTTTTCATTCTTCAATTTGGAAGCAGCAAGACGCGTTAATGTGCTTCTAATTATAAATGTCAACAAACTCAATTTAATAGAGGCACGATTCTTAGAAAATTATTTCAACCTTCCCAACGCAAAGCAATGAATTTTCTCCATACTTTGAATTATCAATCAAAGTTCAAAATTAACAGCACTCAGCATTTCACTTGCAACTTTAGCCATAGGGTTTTCTCGAATCCAAATGTATGTCGGGTTGTTGGAAAGATGAAGAATATTGGGGCGTTTTCTTGTTTAACATAGAACATCCAAAGGTAAATTTGCACATTCATGCTTCTGGCATAAGAGTGACGATATGTATGTATTTTTAATGTAGTTTTTAATTCTAATTATCTTTTATTTTATATCAATGTTAACGAACTATTTAGAACATAATATTCTTTTCATTTTTGTGTAATTAACACAGGTTTACAAAAAAAAAATCAGGTTTATTCAATGAATTTTACCCTACTTGGCCTTCAATTGATCACGAACCTGACGTGATGAAGGCTAAGGGAACCCGGTTTAGCATTCAGCATGCCGAACAACATACGGATATATAAGTTTGGTTTAATATGGATTAACTTTGTTTTGTAAACCTTTGTAATAATAGAACGAACAGAAAATTATGTTTGTATTAAATAACTGAACTGATAACTTATAAATTGTTTGAATAGGTGAAAGTAAACTATTTTAATGAGCTTTTAGCATTTATAATTATGTATATGTAGCGAGACTGCGTTGATTTTTAGGTATAGTTGACATTATTGCTGCTTTGTCGCTGCATACTGGTAACAACCAAAGCTGGCGCATGCAAATGAACTAACGGTTGCTACCTATGCTGGCGCATTTTGCGGTCCTGCCATGTAACAAATTTTGCATTTGCCGCCTGCAATAAACGATTCAAATGCTGCGTCAACGATGCACCCAATGGTGATAATTCATGCAATGCGCGACTCTGAAAAAAATGAAACAACATAAGCAAAATTTAGGTAAATAAAAATATAAATTCGACGATCATATGAGATCCAAGCAAATACCTCGAACGGCACAAGTTTGGCCATTTTGAAACGTTGGAGAGCCTCGTGCATGCGCATAGCCTTTTCCTCGGCTTCTGCGGTTGTTGGTGGGAAGCTATTCCAGAAATGTTTCAACAATTCTGACAATGATAAATATAGATTACGCAAGTCCTTTTCGAAGTCAGGTGGCACTAACTCTATATAGTACAAACAAAAGTAAATTAGAAGAATTTAATTCTAGTAAGCCATATATATTCAACAAGCACTTACGTCCAGCTGATTGGTCATGGAAGCCACGCATAAGCGCACCACCCGGACTCAGCTCGCCGAGCGCATTTACCGCTGCCGTTGAGCTAACCAAAACTTTATGCGGTGTACGCTGTGTCCAAGTTTCTGTGGCACGCATTAAATGATACTGCACTTCTTCCATGCGTCGCGGATCCTCTTGCATATCATAGCCAGTAATTGGCACTGGACCGTGTAAATAACGTTCCTCTTTTGCTAGTGACAGCTGTTGTGATTTCTTAGGTTTTTTATTGGCATCATTAGCATCAGCTGACTCTATTAGTGGATCACCAAGATCTTCAAAGTGTATTTTTTCCATAATACGTTGGCGTTTTGTTGGTCTAAGTGGACTTCCAGCGGCAGCATGGGCTGCGACATGATTATCAGCATCAGTCCCTTTGCCATCCTTTGAATGTTTTGATTTTTCAGTACCACCATTTGCAGTAGCATGCTCTGTGCTTCTTGCATCTTTAATTTTAGCAGGTCCATTGGCCGTTGAAGTAGAACTGCCAGCTACATCTGCGCAAGTTTTAAGCACCATTATGGAGTGCTGATTAAATCGCTTTATCATATTCTGGTGCACAATGTTGCCACTATTAGCTATATTGCGATTTCCATTAACACTGCCGAAACCTTCTTCTAGCGGCACATCTTCAAACTGTTTAAGATCGAGCAGCGGATCTCCGGCACCTTGTTGTACAGCAGCTTTTAACGTTTGATCATCAATTTTCCCGCATTCCGTAAATATGTCTTTAGAGCCCGCTGTAATACGATCACGATGAAAATAATGCGACTGGAAAAACTTTGTCCAAAATTCCGCCTCCGACAATTTGGCTGGTACATTTTCTTGGTGCTTTCGCTTTACAGCGGGATAGGTCTTAAAAATGCATAAGATTATGTCGGGTGTTAAATTATATTTCAGGCCGTTGCAACCATCCGTTTGTGGTTTGATATCAGCAAGAAAGGCACCAGATACACCTAATAATAAGTATGTGTTGTTGAAATCAAAAATGATATAGCAGCCATAAATGAATTTGATACTTACCAATATCTTGCTTTTTGTTAACATTTTTCATGGCATGCTCCTTGGCGTGTGTGGCCCAGAATTCTTCACTGGTGAGTACTTGTGTTATTACTAAATCCTTATAAAGTTGCAAAAGATTTGGATTTTCCGAAAGTATACGATTTTTCTCTTCCAATTCCTTATCCACTTTTCTTTTAAAGTTTGGCAACAGCTGCTGCAGCAGTTCTTTCACCTTATCACGGTCAGCCAGCATCGCCTGCTGGCCATCACGGTTGACGAAATGGAATGTGGAACTGTTACCGTCATGCAATACGACCTGAAGTTGCACCTTAGGCTTGCCTTCAGGTGATATTTTCTGCACTTTTAAGAAAAATACATTCAATCAAATATTTACTAGCTTTGCAGGGAAAACTAAAGAAGTATTTACTTTTGATATCGGCAAATCGATGCGACACTGCCACAGTATCGCGGTTCTCTGCCATCCAAGCAAGACGCTCGTTCATTACATAGAGCGTTCCGTCGCCCTTTTTGTAACGCACTTCCCCCATTTGCAATAGCACGTCCTCACTGCTAGTCGTCATGCTATCAGCTTTTTACAACACCGTCGATCTTGAATTTCGATTGTCCCCCGCACCCAAAGATGAATACAGACCAATTAGGATGTATCAGAAATAAGGAAGCTGTATTTGGTTGGCTATCATAAAGGAAAGTTTAGAAACATATTATGCCCAATCCATACACATATATAAAATCATTTCATAATATTGCGACAGTCAGGTGCTCCACGGTTCTGGTCATTGTACTTTGCAATCATATTTACATATTCAGCACCGTTTTCTCTTAAACCCATTCATTTTCATGGACGGTATATGTTCCAGTACCACTTCCATTACGAAATGATTCTATTAATTGTTTACTAAATACTGAATTATTAATTTTTTGCACAAAGCAAATACCAACCAACCTTTCCTGGCCCCACCGTCGCCATTTGCAAATTTCCGTAGCGCTACGAGCTGTCATCGCGCTGTCAAACCGTCCACCAACAACTGCACTGAAAAATAAGAATAGGGTTCCCTTGCGCACCCTCTACGGAGTAGCTAGCGGAGTATCTGAAACCAAAAAAGGAACTAAATTTGTTATGAAGGGATACTTGAACGATAAAACTTTGATTTGAATTGTACATATATCTGCACAGAGATGAGGTAATACAAATCATTTCCAGTTTTATATATATTTCTAGGTATATAATGGCATGCGTCTTCGGGGTTAACGCAATCACCTGAGAATTGTCAGGCACAGTTTGGTGTGTAGGCGCACCCTAGCTTGAAAATGCACTTTCATACAACTCTGTGTAGCGCTGCCGTACGTCTTTAAAACATTTGACACTTACAAGGCGACTACACTTTCAGTATTTCTTATTCAATGCATTTCCGCTGACAAACAGAAAATACTTTGGGCAGGATAATAGGTAAAATAAACACTCAGTAAGTCTATGCATCACGAGTAAGAGGAATATTTCCATCTTGATCGTGGTGTGACCTGATTTTTGGCGAAATAGTATAAGATTATAAGAATTTTGCATCACATTTAAAGAAATACGTGTTATTAATGTATTCTCCTGATAAGAAAAATTTAAATATTAAAGCGTTAGGGCCAATTTTAAATGAATATTTAAATGGCACTTAAATTTAATTGTGGATTGTTGTTTGAATGCCATTTAACTTTCGTTGGTTTTCAGATCAACTTTGTTTATAGGTTGTTTCCCTAACAATCCGGACCGGATCCAGTAATTAGAGAATAAGAGAAAAGCTTGCTCTCAAAAATGGAACATAATCCAGAAGCACGGGAACGAAAAAATCGCATTTCGTGCCCAGAATTTGAGATACAGCTTATTCGCGCTGCTTTTATTTATTTTTTCACTTAAATACAAACTCTTGGAAACAGAATTTTTGTTTCACAAACTAGATTTTGGGAATATAAAGATTGAAAATACATACACTATTCCTTAAAAGCACCAAGCTAATGCAACATGTAAACACAAAACAGCTGATATGCACTTTGACGCTTTATCCATTTTTACCTGGAGAAAGATGTTTCGGACAGGAAGAAGAAGACACTTACGATCCAATACGTTCCAATTTTCGCTCTCTATTACCCATTTTGTTGAGTACGGGAATGATTTCTAGGCTATTTTGGGCACCGGCGGGATCCCGCGATGCGTACGGGAAAGAACCTTATATATGCCAAACAATTTGCAGCACTGCTGCTTGTTTATTGAAATTGTTGTTGCATTTGCTTGTTTGTTTACATTTTGTGCTGAACAGCTGATTGTTTTTTGGTGGGATTGGTTAAACAACCTACCAATCAATCTTGGTTGTTTGGTACAAACACACGGTTGCATATCTTATATTTAAATAACCCATGATGCAATAAACGATATGAACTCATATGTTCCTCCAAGGCGCAATATCCACCACCTTTTATGGATGCGCCCTGATGTTCCTCATTAAAGTTGGACATTTGGAAAGAGGGTGTTCTACTTTTTCCTGTTCATTAACGTTTCTTCAGCATCCACAGAAGTCGTTGTAGGTAATGCTATGCCTTCTTGTGTGGTGGCCAACCTGTCAGTGCCCGGTATGAGTCGCTACTAGCCCCGCAACGTCAGGTCAGGGTTTTACTAATAACTGCCATCCCTAAATTGGCGCGTCAAGCGCCAAACAACTGTCAAAAATCCTCATGCCCATACAATTTGTATGAAGCATCCCACAATAACGCGGCGCTAACGCCGAGCAAATGGAATTTTCATTTTTGACAGGGCGTTACGTGTTGAAGTTGGATGCGGAACACGGAAAGAAAGAGAAAGGACAAAAAAGTGAAAGAGGAAACGAGAATAAAAACGAGAGGATCTGAGAAAACGTCAAAAATTACGACGCGTTGATTTGGGGATAGCGCGCGCTGACACTCGTCGACAATGGATAACGCAACGCTTAGCGCTCCAATTTAGGGACGGCAGTAAGTTGTGTATTCTCTTACTGCCATCCCTAAATTGGCGCGTCAAGCGCCAAACAACTGTCAAAAATCCTCATGCCCATACAATTTGTATGAAGCATCCCACAATAACGCGGCGCTAACGCCGAGCAAATGGAATTTTCATTTTTGACAGGGCGTTACGTGTTGAAGTTGGATGCGGAAGACGGAAAGAAAGAGAAAGGACAAAAAAGTGAAAGAGGAAACGAGAATAAAAACGAGAGGATCTGAGAAAACGTCAAAAATTACGACGCGTTGATTTGGGGATAGCGCGCGCTGACACTCGTCGACAATGGATAACGCAACGCTTAGCGCTCCAATTTAGGGACGGCAGTTAGGGTTGTATACGGGCCACATGAGTTAGGATATTCGGCAGCCTACCGCCGCGCTTAAGTATAATTCCACAAATAGTAGGCATGGGTAACACTGCGCCGCGTGGCGCAATTGCGTCAACACCGTAGCTGCAGCTGCTGCGCCAACACCAATATATTAAAAGCACCAGCGCCATTAACACCAAGAAACACATGAGACATACAAACAATTCGCCTTAATTCTTTGATAAATTAGAGGCACTTTTTCTTTGCTTTTGACGCCAGAAACTTATGTATCTTGGCAAATTTAAAGCTTTTACTCAAGAATTATGAGAATATAGTGGCATTTACTGCATTCTTAGCAGCTAAATTCGGTTGGCGGTACAAGCGTTGCTCAGCGCCGAAAATTGAAGAAATAATAGGTAAGACGCTACTAGGGGTACTCTGATGACACTCAGATGGCGCCGTGTTGAAATCAGTACCTACACTGTCCTATTGCGCTGAGTTAGTGTGCTGACACCACAGTTCACGCCGGCGTTATTGAGCTAGCGCCATAAAAATTGCGCTATTACCCGTGGCTAACAAATAGAACATAATAGTACCACTAAGTTTAAACGATTTTTTGGGTTGGCGGAAGTCCCCCTTTTTTTTTGTCAAAGATGTGCAACATTTCTTGTGCACATAAATCGGGCTCCGGTGTCTACAGTAGTTTTGCATATAGCTCCGTTCTGAGTAGGCGGGCTTTGAGAGAATATAACTAGTCTGTTCCAATAGCAGTCCGGTTTACAGGATTTAGTCAGAACTTAGGTCGGTGTTATGCAGAAATTTTGTTTGGCAAACTGCGTGCAATTGTTGTTGCAGCAAACTCGGAGAGAGCGAGTTTGGCGACTCTCACAGCAAACTAATTTTGTTTGGTCAAACTGCAGCAAATTCGGTGTTGTCATATACAAAAATTTTAAATTTTGCGCGTTATGTACATCTGAAATTCTCATTTCGTGTTGGCAATAGCCATGAAAACCATAATGAACGTGCAACCCTGTGCCAAACTCGACATAACCACCTCCGAGCAAACTAAGCAGCCGCCATTTAATTTGGCAAACAAAAGTTTGTCTGCATAACACCGACCTTACAGGAAGTCGTTCCTGTAAAGTGGGAACACATTTGAGAGAGTAACTGAGTAACTGTTCCTAGTAAGAAGTTACAGGATTCATAGCTGAAATACAATGCTGGCGAACGGCGAACTCACCACAGCGAAATTCGCGTTGTCAAAATTAGAACACCCGCAAGCATATGAAATTGAACACAGCCAAAGCGAAATGCGAAGTTCGCTTGGCGGCGTTTCATGGCGATAGATTTATTTCTATCGCCCTGCTGGGCGATGACAGCTGTGCGTGCCAAAGGTGGCCGTATTTCTTTTTTGCTTTCAAAGTTTTAAAAGAAAACAACCTAAACACGATTTTTTTTTGTTGTTTGAAAAATATAGTTGTGGATTCGTTAAATCTGGCTTGAAACAAATTATTTATAATAATCTTTCTTTGTTTTACATTTATATTTGTTATCATTTCCTCATTTCTAAATATGGTTTAGTTTTTTCCAAATATGGTCACCCAAATTATAAAGGCGACCAAATGGGATCAGCTGTTTTCNGAACCTTATATTTGTTAAAAAATGGAAGTAAACAACGAAATATTTGAATATGTATAGATTTTAATAATTATTTAGTGATATTTCAGCCAAATCAGTATAGTACCAATGACATGTAAACAAACTGTCTGACGTTTTTACAGGAAATAGTGCTTTTTGCACGATCCAGAAAAGAAAGGTCGCGCCATTCGCGGACCGCTAACCCTCTCTTCGTCGATTTGACAGCATCCACCTAATCGCTGACGTCATAAAATACTTTTGTTTACATTCCCTTCCAACNGTTTACGGGGCAAAGTCTTCTTTGCACTTTCGTAGTGCTTTGACGGCTTCACCTTGGAAACTTTATTACTTCTAATTGAGGAGCAGATAGTGGAGACAACTTAGGTTCACCATCACAGCTTTTCAGCCGCACACGCGGATACACGCTGTGTCGAGCACGGCTACAGATGGCTGCGGACGCCAGCAATGGAGTTCCTTCATTGCCGAACATACATACATACATACATATGTACATAGGTTCTTCAATTAATGAAGATTATCAAGAATGAAAACAAACCAAGTGAACCGAGTCACAACTCGAACCAGCCGCGCTTCAACGGTAATAGCAGCTCTTTGCTTCGCTTAACATATCTCACAATAATCGAGTTTCTTTCTTCATTCGAAATGTGAGTGAATTCTCTTCTCCTGCGACTAGAAGCGCAGTGGTTTAATGAGCATGTAATGGGGAAGCTGAAAGCTTTACGGAGTTTTTCAGCTGCTCAACAAGCGCATAGATACCAAAGCGCTTAGAGTGCAAGGGAACGGGGTTACTGCTTCTCGTTTGATGGAAGAGAGCTTTGATTTGTTGTTTGATTTGTTAAGTTCAGAGGCAGGGTGGAATATTTCATAATAGACGTCGTTGGCAAGGGGAGTGACTCAAAACCCGCTGCATTTTTCTGCTGATAACGGCAGTGCAATAGTCAAGGAGTGGGGGTTTAACTGTAGTTGGCTTTTGCCTTTGTTGCAATTGGAATAACTCATACTGAAGACCGGTTGGCAGGTGGATTAACGTCTCGGCGTTCCTTCACTTGTTTGGTGGGCTCAGTGTGAGTTAGGCTATTGCTGCCAATTCTCAGCTGCAACTGTTCTACCCTAGCCATGAACATGACTTTTGCACTCTGATATCCGCTCTAAAATGTGGCAAAACCAAACCCGTTGCATATGGAAGTGCTGCCTGACACTTTGTGTTTCGAATTTATCATTCGCGTCTGTCCATTTGAGCGGCATTGCAGAGTAGGAGGTGCATTCGCGATCCTCTCACATTTTGGTGTATGTCTCTTCGGAGGTATTCGCTGAGTGTGTGGGGAGGCGAATGGTTCCAATCGCTCTGTATTCCTCTCATTTGGTAGACGAGTGGATTCTTTTCACTTTATGTTGGCAGTAAGTCTGTATGTGACAAAACCAAAATCGCAATTTCGCGATTTTAAACAAATAAATCTTTTAAGATTTGCAGCTACGGCTGAATTAAATTGTACAACGATGGCTATGCTGTCGCCATTCGTACAATTGGCACGCCAAACTGGCGATCTGCGAGTGGTTCGTACTTCTTCGCAACGTCAGGTGTATGGCACGCCTACCCCCAAATGCGCCAAAGCATTCACTCAAAAACCTTAGCTTAGATCCGTCGCTCATTTTTCCTCCAAAAATGTTGCGACGATCTAAGCTATCGCAAAACCAGAACAAATATTTCTCATTTCGCGATAGCCAATTGTAGTATTCAATCCCATCGTATATTTGCCGAGAGCGCCAAAATGTGGAGGATCTGGCCCATATTTCGGATGAATGGCGGTGGGTAGTACCACCAGCTAAGATTTTAGAAGAATCACTGCATTGCGAGCTTAGACATTCCAGTTCAAAATGAGAAATATTTGTTCTGAAGACTGTCTTTTTTCAGAGTTCCTATAGGAACATATATATACATACATACACACATATATGTACTAAAATTTTTGTAAATATTTAGCATTAAGATTGGCAAAAGAAAAAAGAAGTAAAAACAAACACAAAAAATATACCTTGAAAAGGAATAATAAAAACAAAGGGGGCTTAAAACAAAAGAACAAAAGCCCTCACAACAAAATTTTTACTGTATTATTACTGAGGAAAAGGGTGGTCAATATGCATTCAGGTGTGGATGAGTGTCTCAACTAAAAAGAAAAATCATCGTTAGGTCATTTGCTGACTGGTGCGGGGTTTCTTCTAGTATCTGATATAGTTTTCAGAACGACATGTCGTGGCGGCCTGTACCAGTGCCAGCACAGTGCTGTAAAACCATAAGAAGTTTTTCCTGCGGAAGTTGATTGAGAAGAAGAAGAAAAGCAAAATGTCCACGGAGGACCAAGGCAGATGAAACGGCATGCGCCAACATTAGTAACAAGGTACCTCTCCGTACGGAAAATCCTCAGAGTAGTGGAGCAGGCTTTTCGTAAAAAGCTCAACACGCAGAGAAAAGTATCCGGTGAGCTTGCTGTGGATAAAAAAAGCGGCAGTGCTGCTTAACCAATTTCGATCCGCCCGTGAATAGGTCAGTGGGCACTGATTCCCGTAAAGGTATATGGGTAGTAAAATTTCCAGTTGGACCCAGTATCGGTTGGAAATGGTCATTAAATTTAGGAGGAAGTGAAAGCTTTTTAGAATTTTAGAGTTGCGGTAGTTATGAGGTAAATTTAATATTAGGGAATTTAAATTTATAAATTAGGGTTCACACCTAGTCCTCAGTTCGCAGACCAGTTTGCAACCAAGTTCAGATATCCTTGCGTAAGTGCATACAGAGTTTCTGAACTCCCAAATGGGTAACTTACACCCACTCTTTTCTAGATGTACGCCTCTTCTGTCACATATCAAGCGATAGATAAATGGCAGAAGATCGACTTCGACTTTCAGTTTATCTAGGCAGTTTACGATTGCCTTAGAAAGGTCGTTATTTGAACCCCCGTTAATTTCAAGGAAGGCAACAACCAACTGCGTAGATCTTCTACAAGAAGCGTCCTGGCTCATCGCCTTATCTCCTGCCTTGTCCTTTAAGTGCCCAAGGTTAATATGATTTCTAACGAGATCTCATCTAAATCCCGAGGATTCCTGTCTGATTTCTAATTTTTTGCAGAAGTTCCTACATAACATCTCTTTGTCGTTCTTAATTTTGGACTGATATTTCCTAAGACCAATCATATACGATACGATGGAGGATGGTTCCGTGCGCAGAAGTGGACAACTTTTGACTGCCATTCACCTGGGAGTGGCCAGAAGCGATTCTTGTGCGTACGGTTCAAATCGCAGCTCACAACGTCCGGATATTTATATCCACGTATCCTCTGGGTAGCAACCAAACACCCGTTTGGGAGCGAGCTAAAGTGAGAAGGCGTAAAACTTCGCGTGCGCTGGGTTTGGGTCCCGCCACGTTAAAACCCCGCCCAATGAAAAAATCCAACAAGCCTCGGATGAGACCCCCTTTTTCTGATGACGACCACGGCAAACGTATAAAGGACTATGATTTAAGGGTATGCACCTGGAATATCCGGACCCTTAATGGGGAAGGTGCCTCTGCCCGGCTGGTTGATGTCCTCGGGAAGACAAAGGCTGACATCACCGCCATCCAAGAAATGCGATGGACGGGGCAAGGTAAAGTAAGCGTGAAGCCTTGCGACGTCTACTACAGTTGCCACGTAAAGGAGCGCAAATTCGGTGTTGGATTCGTGGTAGGAGAGAGACTCCGTCGCCGAGTACTGGCGTTCACCCCGGTGGACGAACGTCTAGCCACAATCCGCATCAAAGCTAGATTCTTCAACATCTCGCTCATCTGCGCCCATGCCCCGACGGAAGAGAAGGATGAGGCGTCCAAGGATCTCTTCTATGAGCGCTTGGAACGTACATATGAGCGCTGCCCCCGACACGATGTCAAAATCGTGCTTGGCGATTTTAATGCCAAGGTGGGCAAGGAAGGGATCTTTGGCGCCACTGTCGGAAAATTCAGCCTCCACGACGAAACGTCCGATAACGGACTGAGGCTGATCGACTTCGCCGGGGCCCGAAATATGGTAATATGTAGTACTAGGTTCCAGCATAAGAACATCCACCAAGCTACATGGCTGTCTCCAGATCGAAAAACGAGAAACCAAATCGATCATGTTGTGATAGACGGAAGGCATGCTTCAAGCGTTTTGGACGTACGTACACTCCGAGGGCCAAACATCGACTCGGACCACTATCTTGTTGTAGCCAAGATACGCAACCGCCTCTGTGCAGCAAAAAATGTGCGCCCAACAATGCAAGGAAAGCTTAACGTCGAAAAGCTGCAATCACAACAGACGGCCAATTTATTCGCCACTCGACTCACACACCTGCTCTCTGAGAGCACTCTTCAACAATCCGACGTACGCGAGCAGTGGAACCACATTTCCCGATCATTAAGTACCGCCGCCGAAGAAGTAGTTGGATTTCAGCGAGCCCGAAAGAACAACTGGTACGATGAGGAATGTCAAGAAGCCGCAGAGAAAAAAGATGCCGCCTACAGGGCCACGCTGCGATCGGGCGCAACGCGAGCCATGTGGGACCGTTATAGGGAACTGAAGAAGGAAGCGAGACGTATTTGCCGCAATAAGAAGAGAGAGGCCGAAATACGTGAGTGCGAAGAGCTTGAGATGCTGGCCGACAGGAAGAACGCCCGAAAATTCTACCAGAGGGTTAGGCGACTTACGGAAGGTTTCAAGACCGGGGCGAACTCCTGTAAGAACAACAATGGCGACCTAGTGACCGATGTCCAGAATATACTTAAATTGTGGAGGGAACACTTTTATAACCTACTGAATGGTAGCAGCGCTGAAAGTAGTGAGGAAGACGAACCCGAGTCCCCAGTCGATGATGATGGAGTAGCTGTCCCACCGCCTGACTATGACGAGGTACGTATAGCGATTACGCGGCTGAAAAACAACAAAGCTGCTGGAGCTGACGGCCTGCCAGCCGAGCTATTCAAGTACGGCGGCGAGGAGCTGATGAGGTGCATGCATCAGCTCGTATGCAGAATATGGTCAGATGAACGCATGCCCGACGACTGGAATTTAAGTGTGCTCTGCCCAATCCACAAGAAAGGCGACCCCGCCATACGCGCCAACTACCGCGGAATTAGCCTTCTAAGCATAGGTTACAAGGTCTTATCGAGCGTATTGTGCGAAAGACTGAAGCCCACCGTCAACGAGCTGATTGGACCTTATCAGTGTGGCTTTAGGCCTGGAAAATCCACCATAGATCAGGTATTCACAATACGCCAAATCTTGGAAAAGACCCGCGAGAATAGGATCGACACACACCATCTATTTGTCGATTTCAAAGCCGCTTTCGACAGCACGAAGAGAAGTTGCCTTTATGCCGCGATGTCTGAATTTGGTATCCCCGCGAAACTAATACGGCTGTGTAAAATGACGTTGAGCAATACCACCAGCTCCGTCAGAATAGGGAAGGACCTCTCCGAGCCGTTTGATACCAAACGAGGTTTCAGACAAGGGGACTCCCTTTCGTGTGATTTCTTTAATCTTATGTTGGAGAAGATAATAAGAGCCGCAGAACTGAACCGCTCAGGCACAATACTTTATAAGAGCGTACAATTGCTGGCGTATGCCGACGACATCGATATTATCGGTAAAAACAAGGGCTACGTCTGTTCTGCCTTCTCGGGATTGGATAGAGAAGCAAAGCGAATGGGTCTGGTGGTGAACGAGGACAAAACGAAGTATCTCCTGTCAGCACACAAACAGTCAGAGCATACGCGTCTTGGCACCCACGTCACTGTTGACAGTTACAAGTTTGAAAAAGTAGACGACTTCGTTTATTTGGGAACCAGCATTAACACCAATAATAATGTCAGCCTTGAAATCCAACGGAGAATCACTCTTGCCAACAAGTGCTACTTTGGGCTGAGTAGGCAATTGAGAAGTAAAGTCCTCTCTCGTCGTACAAAGATCACACTCTATAAGTCACTCATCATGCCTGTGCTGGTGTATGGCGCGGAAGCATGGACAATGAAAGCATCTGATGAGGCGGCTCTTGGAGTTTTCGAGAGAAAGATTCTGCGAAAGATTTACGGACCTTTACGCGTTGGTGATGGCGAATATCGCAGACGATTTAACGATGAGCTGTATGAGCTTTACAACGATATAGACATAGTGCAGCGAATTAAAATTCAGCGGCTCCGCTGGCTTGGCCATGTCGTTCGGATGGACAGAAACGCTCCTGCTCTGAAAATATTCAACGCGGGCCGCGATGCTGGTAACAGAGGAAGAGGAAGGCCTCCTCTGCGTTGGAAAGACCAGGTGGAGAAGGACTTGGCTTCACTTGGCATTTTCAATTGGCGTCAGTTAGCACAGAAGAGAAATGACTGGCGTGCTGTTTTGGACTCGGCCAAAATCGCTTAGGCGGTTACAGCGCCAAATAAGAAGAAGAAGAAGAATCATATACGATCTCCAGTCGAAGCCAAAGCGATTTCTTCTGGCTTGGTTGAGCAGGTGTCCACTTGAATCCCCCTAGATCTTCTTTATACCCTAGTGCGGAATGTCCCTGTCCATATGATCTCTAATCCGCACTTTAATACAATAGAGTGACATTTTCGACCAATTCGTTTATCGACTTATCCTGTTCCAAAACAGATGCCCTCTCAGATTCCTCTAAGGACTGTTTCTTGGACGTGGTTCGTTAATAGCAAACAATGCTTGGAAAAGCATTATGTGATTCAGTTACATATGTACATCAATAGGTTAGGTTAAACATTAAATATTAATTTCATTTAATTTTACTTATTTTTGCGAGACCACTACATGACTTTTTAAGCATCATTTCTTGTCTAGTTTCGAACTATCCCGAAATGATTCCGAACTATTCCAAATTGTCCCTACGTAGTCCTTAAGTGGTTCTGAAAAAGTCGTGAACGAAATGGTCCCTTAATAGTCCCAAAATGATTGTGGACTAGTCCTACAAAACTAGGCCCAAAATGGTCTTAAACTAGTTCCAAAATTATCCCAAACAAGTCCCAAATGTTTCTTAAATAGTCCTGAACTATTCCCAAAATGGTCCAGAAATAGTCTCAAAATTGTCTCCAAATAGTCTGCTGGGTTAACGAAAATTTTATGTTTTCTTTATGCATCAAAATGAAAATTAAATATCTGCGGTCTAGGGATTTATTTCATTTCCGACTGGGTATTTCTTGTAGCGATTGCGTTGGAGTAATGCCACTGCTTTCAGAATTGTTTATTTATTTTTTGGTTCCAATTGCATTTTATTCATGATTTTTAATGTTTGGGGATTCCCACAAATAAGAACAAGTGATGGCCTACATATATACATACTAGAGAGGAATAAAAAAGAAAATCTGTGATTCAGAATTTGTTAATTTAAGTACATACATATATATGCGTTATATATAGTATACTTAAAGTATTATTTTATTAAAAGTGTTGTTCAACTTACAATGAAAACTTATAAATACACTTAAATATATAAATACATATGTATATAAGTATGTACAAACATATTTATGTATTTCGTATGCACTTAAAATCTTATGGGGAACACATTAATTATGAGTAGGTACTATTCTAATCACTCCGCCGCTTGCCGCTCACCACTGCCTTCTGTTGTGTCGCTCCACATTGCGTCCCTTCTCCAACAGTTCCCGATAAGTTTTGACTTCATGTCGCGGTATTTGCTGCTGATATTTCGAATCCAACAGGCCATAAACAAAATCCAGCTCTGTTTCCACATCATGTCGTCCTTCGGGTAATTTTGCTATCAGCGCACGCTTCTGACACACGAACGTATCAATCGGCGTGTGATCTGTTTGCTTTGATGCGAAAATCTCCACATAAAGTTGATAAGGTGGTTTTGTTGGTGAAAAATGATCTCGCAGCAGCGTCAATGCATCTTGCCATGACTTGGCGTCACGACGTACACCTTTCCACCAAGTAGAAGCAATACCTTGGAAGAGAAGTGGCAAACCTTTCAATGCATCTTGATCGCTAATGCCTTCCATATCTTTGTAGGTCTCCACGGCATTGATGAACTCCTCGACGGCGTCATTGTCGCGTTGGCCATGGAAACGTACATTACAATTGCCAAAACTGCCTTTTGATTTGTTTGCTTGTTGCTGCTGCTCGTTATGTTGTGGACCCAGCGCACGAATTGTGGCGAGTAGCTTTTCGAATTGCTCATCGGACATGCGACCGGTGGACATTTTGCGAAAATTCTGCGTTAATTTTTGAGCGAGCGCGCGACAAAATGTGGCTGGCAGTTTTACAGCCAAGAGGCGACTGTTTGCCATCTCGATATTCGTATGCTTGGAGAGCTGTTCTCTCTTTTTGTTTTTTTGGGAGACTCATTTGGAGCGAAAAGCTCCAACACTTCACTGCCAGCTCAGCTGTTGTGAAATGGTTTGTTTCAGCTTGTTTACTACAAAACACTGCATTTTATTAGTCATCGGTGTGTTTGTACAAATATATTTATTTATTAATGCATTTATGTACGTACGTATTTGGTGAGAGTTTTATTCATAAAAATATTGCGCCCTACTATAAATGTATGTAGGTGTACCTAAAAAATATAGTTAATTATAAAAGATAAGATATGAAACTTGGGGTTTTTTCAGAAGCACCTGTTGCTTGAATTCTGAGAAATGTTTTCAAAGTTGTGCCAAAATGTTTTTACAAATGTTTCTCCTTCATTGCCGCCGTAACGGCTTATGTGATTTTGGGCGAGTTTAACATATCACGCCAAACTTTGCTTCTTCTTGCTAACTAGCGTAAATTTAAAATACCAAGTTTTAGGGCCGAAGTATTTGACCAAGCTAGTAGACATGCTTTGGTCCAGTCATGCCTGCGGGCAGTCACTCATGGTTCTGATCTTTACTTGAGTGTTGCCCAATGACGATGTTATTTTACGCCCACAAAGCATAGCGTCGATCTAACCAACAGAAGTACATAGGGTCCTTGGACCAATGCCCCCGAGATATGTAGAAGCATTACCCAAAACCCCCACGATGTCCACAGACGTACACAGAGCAGTCTCCTTGGCTCCGAAGGCGCTTTTGATCCTGCTAACCAGACACTGTGCAGCCGAATCCGTCGTTTTCTCGTCACTCTAAAGTTTTGAGAGAAAAGGAAATAAGGCTAATAGGTCAACATGGTTTAGATAATTCAAGGAGCCTGTAGTCCGATTTAGGAATAAATAACAGGGACACCTTCCTCCAAGGATACAGTATGTATACCTAGCAATAACTGGCCCTAAATAAAAAGATCAGCGGATCAATGATTTCCTTAATATACATATATCTGTAGTTGAAAGACTCCACCGTTCACCTGAATATGAGATAGGGGTCATCTGATCATGTTCCACCGAGGAGCCTCGAAAATGCACAAAATGCTTCATAGTCTCGATTCTTTATTATTAAGTTTTTATGATTTTTTTTAGTAGGTACCATTTTTTAACTAGTGTGCCGTAAATAATTTCATCATATACAGAAATCGTTAACGATTCCAAGAATAATATTTGCATTGTATGCGTAAACCGATATATGTACATATGTATGTACTTGCAGTCGAACATACATTTATACAAATATAATATAATTATACACATTTTTTCAGTCGGTCCAAAAAGGTTGGTGCGTCAGTTTTATTTAGCCGGCAAACTAAATACATACGATTATTTACTACTTATGCAAATGTAAGTGTGTATTATGCACATCGTCGCGTAGAGAGCAATTTACGCTGTGTGTTTTCAGGTTTTTCAGCTGCACTGCCCTCGAAAATTCGTAGCGAGCTTTTGCTAAAACTACATATCTTAATACATAAATACCTACACATACAGTAGTTTTCTCTCAGCTTTTGTGCCTATAAAAGCCACATCCCTTCGCAACGAAATTCAGTCTCTTACGACCACAGCTAGTCAAGATTATTTGTAGCGGGAAGACATTCGCTAACAACTATTGGCTTTGTTCGCTGCTAACAACAACAAACAGTGAATTATTCCAACAAAACAGCAAACAGTTATTAACGTGCGTGCTATTTTAATTTCTCATCAACAAAGTCCAAAGTTCATTTCAACAAAATGGCTCAACCCGTTGTGCAAATGACCGCCGATCAACTGCAGTCACTAATCGAATCAGTGCGTTTGGCTGCCGTAGCAGGCGCTAGCAGTGCTGCTCCAGCTACCGTCCAAACCAAGGGCAGCTTCACCAACTGCACCAGCCGTTTTGGTGGTCAGCGCGACCACGAAGCCGTTGAGGAGTTCATCACCTCCATTGTAACATACAAGGAAATCGAGTCTATCAGCGATGAAGATGCACTTAAGGGGCTTTCCTTGCTGTTCTACGGTCTGGCGTCCACTTGGTGGCAAGGCGTGCGCAAAGAAGCGAAAACTTGGGCGGACGCCATTGCTTTAATACGCGATCATTTCTCGCCCACCAAGCCCGCCTACCAGATTTACTTGGAGGTCTTTGAGAAGAAACAAGAGGACAGCGTTGCTATTGACACATTCATCTGTCAGAAGCGTGCGTTACTCGCACAACTGCCAGAGGGACGTCACGACGAGGAAACCGAATTGGATTTGGTCTATGGTCTGTTGAACATCAAGTATCGCAGGAATATACTGCGTCAGGACCTTAAGACCTTCCGCGAATTGCTGGAGAAGGGTCGCATCATCGAACACAACGACTTGGAATCAGAAGCTGTGCAAACAGGTCCAGTGCGTGGCTCAAAGCGTACCAAACGGTGCACCCATTGCAACTTCCGTGGTCATACATTCGAAGAGTGTCGCAAGCGCCGAACCACTGCTGATGAATAAACACTAACTACACTACATGCATCCACCTTCTCAACCAGACATTCCAATCACTAAACCGATGACGACAAAACGCACACAACACCGGCGAGAGGACGCTGACAGTCATGACTCAACAATGACGTCACAGTCCGAGCAGCTTACGTCGCTACCGCATTACTGAAGCAGTACTTTCGCACCAACAGAAGCAGTGATTGAACATTGAACTTTGGTGATGTCGGCGAATCACGGCAACAGCAGCAACATTACTACTTAGAGTTAGTATATACAC